AGATAGATAGATAGATAGATAGATAGATAGATAGATAGATAGATAGATAGATAGATAGATCATTTTTTTTAATTACACTAAATTTCCCATCAGCCTCCAGTCTGTTAGTCTGCACTTGGGGCCTCGTCCCTCCTTCCACAAATCCTAACAGAGAGTCTTTATTTCAGAGGCGGTTTGTGTGCAGAAAGCCTCACTGGGGACCTCTCAGCCTCTGTGTGAAGCAGGTTCTCCACTCTGAGCTGTTTGCTAATGATCTGTAATGAGCAGCCGCCTCTTTGGATCCGTCCACAGACACCTAATCTGAGCCAGTACCCGCTGGGGGGGGGCAGCCGTGGTGGAAACAGCAACAGTCAAAACAGAGATCAGCGTGTTTGCAGCATGGATTTTATGAGGCTATTAAAAGGCATGTTTATACCGGTGGATACAAGGAGTCAAGGTCACCATGACAACAATCACCAGTTCAACTGTTGTGGCGCATTGTGCGATGTGAAAAATTCAAAAGAACACCCAGAAAGTGACACACCACATATTTGAGATATTTATTCACCAGAAGGCTGTTTTTTTTTCATCACAGACAGTCAAAAACAGCTAAGAAACCCTGGCCTGAAGCTTCACTGCTAAGTTAATTTGAATGTTTGTGACCAAGTGCAAAAAAAGCCGGCAGTTTTATTTAGTGATGTAATGCCAAACATACCAGAATGCCATCTCGAGGCATTTTAAAGATAAAGTCTGACCAGATTTGAGGCAATTTCATTTGATAAAAACAACACAAACATCAGTATGCATCCTCTCGTTGATACAATCCTCCATCCTGAGCATGCAAGGGGCGACCATGGAAAGAAAAAACTCCCATTGAACAGGTAGAACCCTCCATCAGAACCAGAACCAGGAAGGGCGGCCGTCTTTCCGAACCACTTCCAGTTCTTTCAGTTTCAACAGATGTGTTTGGACTTGAGCATTTCCGGTTTACCAGCGTGATGCACGCCGCCTCAGCCAAACTTTGCTCTGTTTAAAAATAACCTTTTAAAAGGCCACTTCTCTAAACACAGCTGGACACTTTGCTGTTTGATCTTTACTTATTTCAGAAAATACCACTCACATGTGGTTGAAGCTATTTGGAAATGAGGTCGAGGCAGGAAATAATGACATCAAATGAGAACATAAAGGGAAGCAGAGAACGTGTTTTTGAGTTGAGGGTTGCATTAGGTCTGGTTGTGATGTAATAGCTTCATGGTTTGTCCCATTAAACATAAAAAAGACCAAAATATCCACTTTCCAATGTAGGTTTTTCTGTGAAAGATGATTTCACTGGCTTAAAGTTGCAAATACCCAACAATAAGATCAAGTCCCAGACAAAGAATATATTTGAGCTATGGGAGTAATAAGACTAGATCAAATGGATTTGATACCTTTACAGGGAGCTATGTCAGTTATTAATTTAAAGACTGCTGTGAGATTTGATCAGTCACTACAACTAAAATTGATTCCTGGATCTTTTTTTCACACCAAAGAGATCAGGCCCTGCTCAGACATGTGGGATGAGGCTTTAAACACCGTAACTACAGCACTCTGTGTCCGGTTTTCCAGGCTGCCACAAAGCTTCTGGACGAAATGTGCCACCTGACAGCCCAGTCCATCACAGAAATGGACACATCGGAGCACTTCAAGCTGGTGAAGCTGCTGGGTGAGGGCTCCTACGGAAAGGTCATGCTGGCCGTGCACAAGACGAGAGGTGAGGAAGCTGGGCCCTGAATTCGTCTCAGCTTCAAAGCCTCAAGTCGTTACCCCTCCTGCCTCGTTTTTTCCAGGCACTCCGATGGCTTTGAAGTTCTTCCCCCGTGGGTCCACCTCCCTTTTCTCCTTCCTGAGAGAGTACAACCTCTCGCTGTCCTTCTGCACCCACCCGTCCCTGACCAGAGCTCTGGGCATCGCCTACACCACCCCCGCCCACTACATCTTCGCTCAGCAGGCCAGCCTGTTCGGAGACCTGTACGACGTCATCATCCCCGAGGTGCAAAGAGCGCAAACGCCAAGTCAATTACTTGGGATGATGTAAACAGAGGGATATCTATCTTGGATCTTGGCAAACAGGAACTAAAGAGGGCTGGTTGTGGTTTTCCAGGTGGGGTTGGAGGAGGACCGCTGTCAGCGGGTGGTGTCCCAGCTGTGTGGCGCTCTGTCGCACCTGCACTCGCTCGGTTTCGTCCACAGAGATCTCAAACCGGAGAACGTCTTCCTGTGCGACTCCGCCTGCCGATGGGTCAAACTGGGAGACTTCGGCATGGTCTGTACAACAACCCGCTCAAATGACGACGTTCAGGGGGGGTCAAAGGGCTTCATGAAGTCGATCTTTACCGCAGGTGAAGGCCAAAGGAACCAGGGTCCCAGAGGTGTGGTACAGCTCGCCTTACTGCACGCCCGAGGCCGAGATCGCCCGAGGAAACCAGGACAGCTGGAGCAGCGCCGGGGATGGGAGCGCTGGCTTCAGAGCGGAGGAGGAGGAGGAGAGGAGGAAGAGGGTGTGGGTGTCTGTGGAGCCCAGCACGGACAGCTGGGCTCTGGGCATCCTGACGTTCGCCATGCTGACCGGCAGTCACCCCTGGGCCGAGACGGCCAGCGACTGCCGCTCCTACCTGAAATTTCAGGAGTGGTTTGACAGCGCTCGAGCCCCCAGCGATGAGCTGGACGTGTGGGCGGAGCCACAAACCCAGAGCACGGAGGGTGCCTCTGACTCGGACAAAACAGGCCAGAAGGACCAGACTCCCACTGCCCCCCAGTTCGCATGCTTCACCCAGTTAGCCTGCTCCTTCTTCCAGTCGCTCCTGGACCCGAGGCCACAGCGCCGGGGGCGTCCCGACGACGCTCTGAGTTACCTCGGAGGGGACTGGATGATGGAGAAGGAGAGGGCCAGGCTGGAGGAGGAGAGGAAGAAGAGCACCGGGAGAGGTGCCATCAGATGCATGAAGGAGATGGAGGGGAGGGGGGAGCGGTGAGCCAAGACGGTTCATCCAAACCAAGCAAAGCAGAAAGAGACTGTTGGCGACATTTTTTCAGGTTTTAGTGCAGCAAGAGAAGACTTTAGCCCACTTTTAAAAGAGCAAGAATGTATATTTGTCCAGAATAAAATAAAAGGTGCCGAGTTGACATTAACTTTTTCTAATGATTTGGCGTTTTCATGAGTTTGCATATTCTTTTCGAGCATTCGAGGTTCCCTTCCACCATCCAAAAACGTGCATGTGAGGTAAACTGCTGTGTTTGAGTGGACCCTGGGAGTCAGCGTGAGGGCCCATGGCTGCTTGGGTTGCCTGTGATGGGTTGAAAACAGGGATGAAACAGGTACAAATGGGTGGATTGTTCTGTTCTAATAGCTGTTCTAATAGCTGCATCAAGCTAGCAGGTGGTGAACACTGATGATGGACAGTCCTCCCCCACATGTTTCACCTCTTCAAACACTAGGAAAAAAACTTTGGGGGAAAACCCCCTTGTTAAATGATAATTACATGGTTTATGGGAAACCTGTGTTTTGGGAACTGTGGGAGGCTTACAGCTGGTTCCAGCTCTCTGAATAGTCCAAACCATCAACTGTAAAGTCTGCAAATGTGGGAATTATTTTTGTTAAGTTGTGCTGGGGAGCTGCTATGTGTATGTAAAAGATAGCGTCTTGAACTCACAGCTGCTATATTTGGTTTTGGTTTTTTGAGGGGATAATACGTCATAGTGGGCCACGGGTGGCATGCAGACTGCCTCAGTCCCCAGCCGTAAACATGTCTGAGGCACAGTCGCAGTGGGTGTTCGAACTTGTCTTTAGATTGTTTAGAAAAAAGCCCCACAGGTTTACTTTCACAGTGTAAAAGAAACCTGGAGTAAAACCTTTAGTCCAACATAGGCTAACTAAGTAGCAAAAACAAAGGTCAGCGAAAGTATGCATATGTATTTATTGCTCAGACGTTCTTTAAATAGATTTTGTTTTACTCAATGATCCTCATTTTTTTCGAATGCTATTTGACCTCAAACATGACCCATGACGTCTGATCTCGTCTGGGTGATGTCCTCGAAAGACCACACGCCAGAGACGTGGCCCAGCGGGAGAGCTTCCCGGGGCGTTTTCAGAAATAGACGCAGGGCCGTAAATTCACCATCACAACCTTTCAGCGCCTCGATGGGCCACGGCCGCTCGGCCTCAACGTCCGGCCAAGTCACGCAGTGAGGAGCGATCGGCTCCCCCGGCTGAATAACTGACACATGACAAACATTTTGCTCCGTTTTATTTGGCAGCTCACAGAAAGCCCCTAACACGGTTTAACAGCTGAAGCCGAATGGCTTCTTCTCCTTTTTCTGAGTTTGCCTGGTTTGTTTTCTCACAGCTGACGTTCCGGGCCTCTGTTTCTCACAGTAAGAAGGTGGCAGGACCGGCCACCGTGAGAATCCCAGGTCATTAAGCCTCGTGTGGAAAAAGGGGAAGTCAGCAGAGAGGTGGGGGAGGTCAGAGGGAGAGCATCAGCAGTGGCTGACCACAGAATGCTGAACCACTGCCCAGTCTAATAAAAACCAGAGGTGAAGGCAAAAACAACACAAAAAAACGGACAGAAAGTCAACAAACTCAGATAACCTTAGAAATACCCTTACATTTTAACACCTGTGCGTGTCTGTGAAGCCCATATGCAGAGCAAGTCGATGTTGTTGGTTGTCTATTTGCCCAGAGCAGCTGGTTTCTGTGGAATGGGCCCACGTTGCTCCATGGGAATTTCAGGGAAGTTGTTATGCACACGCACGCTTGCAAAACCTTCATTTTATTTGCTCGCCAGTGAAACCAAACGCTTGAAATCCCCTCTGTTAGATCAGAATTAACACTTCCTGCAACAAATGAGTCTTCACAGGGAGTCAATCACTTCTTCTTCTACAGACTCTGAACGGTGATGGCGCTCCTGATGCATCTGACTGCAAACCTTTTGTCCCCTTATGTCTTTAAAGCTGTCACCGTGCACTTTTCTGTCAATGAATCCTCGCTGTCCAGTGTGTCCAAAGGCCTGAAGCGGTCCACCGTTGCCTGGGCTGTGACTAAAGTCTCAACACAGGCCTCAAATGTTTAAAACCACGCTGAAAACATCTGTTTGGCTGTTCTGTGACAGATGGAAGTCTTTCACCTGCACCATTTGCTTCTACTTGAATCAAATCATGATTATTTTTTATGTTTAATTGTTTTTATTTTCGTTTTGTGTCTTCATAATGTATAACATTTTGAAGAGCATTGGGTACAAATTGTATAACTTTGCTTTGCCATATGTGGGGAGTCAAACCAGAACTGGTTTAACAGACAGGTATGTTTAGACCTTCTGGTGCACGCTGTTCCAAAAGTCATGTCTGTATTTCAGCTCCAGACTTGTAGAGAGTGAGCAAACCTGTCAACCGACGTGCTACCGACAAGCCTCCTCCCCCCCGAGACACCTGTGCAGTAAATCACCACCTCAAAGGGTCGCTCCGGGCTACCCGCTTCAGACGAAAACGTCATCAGGAGTGACCGTAACCTTTGACCAATAGCTCCATCTCATTATTCCAAACCCTGTTTGTTTTGTCTGGATCCTTCAAACAAGAGGAATGAATACGTTTATCTGTGTCTGTTTGAATCTGTGAGGACGAACGGCTCAGAGTTATCTCACGGTCCTCCTGAGCCAAAGCCCATGAATTAGAGGGCTCGTTATGGGAGACAGTTTGGTCATTGTGTGACTCTGAGCTGAGGGGTCGCTTCCAGATAGGAACGGGGGGGGGGGGGTTCTGGCCCGGGGCCTGAAAGCTATTCTGATCCACGTCCCCTCCTGACATTTCACCTGATATGTTGCATTAAGGCGATGCGACTTAAGTACGCTGCGACTGTGAAGTGGGACTCAAACTATTTGGCGAGAAGACAAGGAGCTGTTATGTATATAACACAATTTATAGGCTCATTAAAGAAAAAGACGACATCACAGAAACTCCACAAATGTTCAGTATATGTCCAACAACAAGCAGCGGCTGGTTAGAGGGACAAACATACCTACATAGACCACTTTACAGTCACTTAATAAACATTTATTGATAAATATCAGGCCACTAATCTGAGCTAAAGCTGCCACCATGGCATCGTGCCCTATCCTGGCTTCTTTTCCCATTAACAACTATGGCTTTTACTGGATAAATACTTGTCTTTTTCACTGCAGACAGATCTAATTTAACACAAATTTGTTCTTCATTTCTTTAAATGTTCTTCCAAGCAGCTGAACTTTCTTATTATCTTTAAAACTGGTGTGAGCCATAGCTGTCAAGTCTTTCTGGAAGCCATTTATTTGATGTTTTCTCACCATGTTTTCCAGCTTTTCTTATTAAAGGTTTAAAAACAGTTTATGAATTGGTATATTCAGCTGTGTCTTTAGGCTCTTGGTTACCAGCAGCCTGTCACAGAAAAACTACAAGAATCTAATCCATTTACAATCGCTTTACCAACAACTTTGATGTGTTCATGAAGGCATCGGGAGAAATGCTGGTTTAGCATCTTATCAAAAGAAACTTCTGTCGACTGGGTCAAAATTTAGAAGAGAGCAAACATGCACCAAAATAACTGTAATTATTCCCAATTTACCTGACAACATTGAAAAAAAATGAAGATCTAAGAGTGTTCAAAAGAGGGAGAAATGTCAATTCTCAAAAAACATATTGGCGAGAGGTCCATTTCAATTTGGTGAAACTAACTTCTGAACCCCATCCAAGATAATTGGTTTCAGCTTTAGCTCTGGAAAGCATACAGATGAGCATGCAAAATCCAGCTCCGTTTTGGCACGCTATTTATTGGCAGAGCTCTAAAGTAAGTATGACAGACATGAGATTCACTCGACATGAGGAGTTAAAGTCAGCAAGTTCATCATTACTCATTTAGAAAAATCTACAACCCAGCATGTCTGACTAATACTCTGAGCAAAACATACTGAGAGGAAAATGATGTTTTAGAATGACAAACTCTCTTTTGGTCTCTTCATGATGATGATCCCACCATGGGGCATCTGGCCCAACTAAGTCTAAAACAGATCAGCAGTTGAATTATCATCCAACAAAATCCAACATCATTCGTTACATCTCCTGGCATACCGAACGTCACAGCGGCTCATATTTGTGAAGATGTTTTAATCTGTTGGAAAAGGAGTCAAGCAGCCAGTTGATTTTTTACGAGCGAATCGTTGCATGAAAGGAGCTCGTGGCTCTGGAGCCTCGTTTGGATGTGGAGGAGGGAAACGGATCCACCCTGACACGCAGGACATTTTCTGACTGCAGCATCAACTCTGGGCAGCAGCTCAGAGGAGTCTTGTTATCGCAGCTCCGGCCAAACTGAACATTTACTTGTCTGTGTATTTAATGATGTGCTGAAGTATGTCGTTTGAAGGCGGTGCTAATATTAGACTGAGTGACCTGAAATCCTGTTTTGCCACGAGGCAGAGGAGTACATTAGGGGTACTTCTTAATTATCCCAGTTTTCCTGTGCAGAATCACAGAAAATCGTCAAAGCATGTGAGATCTTCAGCAGCTGTATGGATTCTCAGAAACCTCTATTGTTATTTATGAAAATAAAGGGGAAACTTTCCACAAATTTGTGGAGGAAATAATAAGGATCTAATCAATTTGTTTCCTGTTTTTGGTTCACACTGTGAAGGAAGCACATTTCTGGTCAGATCTCACATCAGCAGCTTTTGGCTGCTGTATTCTGATTTAATAATCTAAAAGATGTTATTTATAAGATGAAAAAAAAAACTTTGTGGCCCCTCTGAATCACGGAGTTCAGATGAACTGCTGATTTCTACATTTTGGTTCTCAAAACTGCATATTCTGCATTTTATGACAGAGATGGCCTTTTCCCAGGAATGATCTCGTACACTGAGTCGGTCATTCTAGTGAATTTATGTCAAAAAACAACCGGTGAGTCACATTGTCTCCAACTCGTCTTAAAAACAAAACAGGCCAGTTCATAAAGACTTTCTTTTCGTTCCTGTCCCCTAAATGTAGATGTAAAAAGACACCATTCAACATTTCAAGGCTTCCAGAAAGACTTTGTCAGGTTTTGGGGAAATACATTATGTCTTAAGTGAAACCATCTGTGCACCACAGTGTGTCTCTTTTCTGGCTCAGAGGTGAAGACTTTCATATCATTGGCAAAAACCAGTTATGAGCATGAAAAAAAATATCACATCCTCTGGTGTCAGAGCTGGATTTTGGTTTATATTTAGAAAAGGTTTGGAGATTTCAAAAGGAAGCACAGTTTTGAATGTAAACTAGTCCTGTTTAGGCCGGCAACAGCTGGAGCTTTGCAAGCACATCTGAGCCACAAGCTGAACCTCTGAATTTGATCCACAATCCGGACGATCATGATGGATGGAAAAGTCCTCTGGAAAGGGGAAGCTAAGTCTTCAGAGAGCATGCGGGGGTATCGGGTGTATGTAATTTCTCTGTCACTCGTACTCGGAGGACCAAAACAACACGTGATGTTGTGTGAGGGATGTGCTGCCCGACGGGACCCAAATCTGAGGACGACGCACAAAAAAGGGTACATAGAGGCCCTCTGGTTTTGCCTCTAAAACCCATGAGGGTGTTCTTTGGGTCTCTCTCACACATGGAGATCGCACGCTCGGTTGCGGCTGAACATTGGGCCAACGGGAGCAGGCACCAGAGGGCTGCAGCGGCCTCGTAAGGCAAAACGAGGCGACAACAAATGAAGATGAATCGGGTTCCTGATGTTATGTTCAGGCTGGCCAGCTGTCTGTTACTCTCCGTTTCTTTCTGTCAGCAGAGCCAAAAGCTGCGGCTCAGCAGTGTCCTGTGCTGACCTCCGAAATATTTCTCACTTCTACCGAGACCGTCTCTCTTCCCTTACAAAGCCGGGAGTTTAAGGCCTGGTTTGACACAGCCAGGACGGGCCGGCATAATCCAAATATGCTTTCCTCCCTCCAAAAGCTGACCATCAGCTACAGCTGCCTGTGACAGGGGGGATCTGCAAAGAGGGGAAAAAAAACATCCAAACCTTTATTTTCCACTAACAGACTCAGTGGATTCAAACAATCTTCTATCAGCCTCATTTTTTGTGTTGTCAGCTGAAGCCAAGTGCAGTTCAGGGCATCGTTTGCCCATTGAGATCCACATTCGGCGAGAACAGGAAGAGCATGCAACCTCCAAAAAGAAAAGCTCAGTCGGGATTTGAACCGGGAACCCTCTTGCATGCTTTTAAACAGAGGGAGAAGCCAGGCCCCCGCCCGGCTCCCCGACAGATCCAGAACTGGTCACTGATTCTGGCTGCTGAGGGGTCTGAACCTGCAGTTTTTTCCTGCTTTTCAGCTTGAAAGTTGCTTCTTTACCCCAAAGCTGCGTCCGCTAAATGAACAAACCAGCAGTCTGATAGAGAAAACCTTCCTGATGAAAGCAGGCATTGACCCCTACCCTCTCCTTTGGCTGCTTTTCCAACTCTGAGTGAAAGAAATCTACCCCACATGGCCAGTCAGACTTTTGCTCCCCTCTGACGATTTGGATGCTTTACATAGCGAGCTTATTGAATCACTAAAAGATGGACGCTATGCCAACAATGTGGGACCACATAAGAGAAATGATGTTGCAAGCAAAAGGATTTCCACTGAATCCCCTCGTGGTTATCTTTGCACATTAAAATCTGGCAGAAATTAAAATGGCTCACGTTTACTTGCTGAACTTATCTGAACTCTGCAGTGTTCAGTTACAGGATAAAAAAAAACACACAAAAGAAACAAGACTCAACGCATCCTTTGAAAGGTTTTATTGCCCCTTTTTCGTTAAATTGGTCAGAAATCAAGTGTTAGTCCAGTGATTTTACAGCCGAGGTGGAATGAGAGCGAGATGGGAGACATAGTACTTGAGCCAGCAGCACGAGCGATGTAAACACGACACACAGAGAAAATCAGCCCTAAACCTTAATGCCAAATGCTAAATACTGTTCACGTGATCTGATCACAGCAAGTCTTAAATAATTATGCAGACAAATTCATTCACAGTCATATACATCAAAGTAAACTTTCGAAATTCACAGTCAGATTAACATTTCATCTGCTGCCATTGACACATTCAGTACGAAGCAACAATCGTCTGGTTTCTCCTGCCGTGTTTGAAGTCTAACGGCAAACGCATCAACCCAGAGAGGAGGCGTTTCTTTTAACATGTTCCAAACAGGCAAACGGGGGGAATTAGATCACTCATGCTCATTCTTCACAGCCACATGTCCCTCTGGGTCACAGTGTGAGAGATTTAACGAGATAAAGACACGACTCGCGGGATTTTAACACCACAAACAGAACAAGGTGATAACTTTTCACTCATTATATTAATGTAAGTTAGCGTTTCCCAGCTCTGGTCCTGGAGGCCTGCTGCCCTGCATGTTGTCCACCTGTTTCCCTGCTCCAGCCCACCTGATTCAAACGAGAGCCCTGCAGCTGTTTCAGCTCTGCCGGGGACTGATGAAGACCTGTGTGCGGGAGCAGGGAAACAGCGGGCCTCCAGGAACACAGCTGGGAAACGCTGATCCAAGTCAAACAGCTTTAGTTGTTATGATCAAATCGAAGTCTTTCAGGAAAATCCAGAAGCACATTTTCTAGACTGTCGGAGTATAAATGAACAGAATTGAAACAGTTCACCTTAAAGCTTATTTAGTCAATAAGCTGCGGCTCATTTGACATTTTCTGGTTTAAAACTCCCGTTACATTTGTGACAATCATCTGTATCACTGAGCAGCAGAAATTTAGTCCGCCCATTCAGATTTCAGCCTTAGGCAACACTTTTACAGTCAGTTTCTTTAAGGTAATGTTTGGAAAGCTTGATCTGAATTCAGCTTTGTGACAGGGTAACGCTAATCATTCACTGGGTGTTAAACATGGAAAACAAAGCTATGATTCATCTGCCATCCACCGACCGCACAGAGCCCCCCTCTGAGGGTCTAAAGGCAAAAACAGAACTTTCTGGTCCGCTCACTCGTCTTCTCTCAGCTCGACAGGCTGAGGTTTCCAGAAAGGACCAAAAGGATAACAATGAAGAGAACCCATCGTTAAAGTAGATTTAATCTACAGCTGACCAAAACCGTGCAGGATATGCAATGTTCCTTCTTTAAATCTGTAAGGAATTAAATGATAATAAGGAATGCTTGTCTGAATCTGGTAACCATCTGCTGATAATAAGTGCTGCACAGGTACCAAACACATGTGCATTCACCGTCAGTATAATCTTACAGATCTAGTACCAACGAGGATTCACAATACAGGTAAGGATGAAAGAAGCAGCTGAGGTCTGCATCTCATTTTTCAGTGAGCCACACGTTTGGCCAGGCTGATGTGAGGGCCTTCAGCTCTAAAAGCTGTTGAGCTCCTGCACTCATCTCACATACAGTTCGCTCTATTAATCTCATTTTCCTGCTGGAGGAACACCATTTCATTTCTTTATTCCTTAATGCGATTTGAACGACAACCGGTTAGACCCCTGCTGTGTACACAATCCAAATCCCTTTGGAGATGGTAAGGCTGACTAACAAAAAAGAAAAGGATAGGATTAAGTGGTAATCGTTCATCTTTTCGCATTTATCCCGATTTATTCTCAGTTCCCTTGATTTCTACATTAAAGTTTAGCTTCCAGCATGAAGCTCTGGTCCCTTCTCCCAGGGTGAAGTACCCTGTTCAGCCTACAGGAGGAGCTGTGAGACTAAACAAACTAGCTCAGATAAAGGATGAAGCAGTGCTCAGAGCGCCACCTTCTGGACAGCTGATGCAAACACATAAAAAAGGAACACCTGCTACTGAGGACGTTACAGATAGCCCTTAGAAATTACTGGAGATGGCTCGTGTCGTCTGATGGCTTTTACTCATTAGAGACTGGTTTGCTGACAGGAAGGTCTGAGAGGGGGCTTCTCGCCTCGGCTTTGGGAGGAGCGTGTGGGAGTTACTCTCAGTGTGATGCACGGGAAGCCACAGACACAGATGCAGCTGGGATGAAAAACACAACCGACGTGTCGACGACGCCGACTCAAAACTGGATCCAGTTTGAGGAGTTCTGAGGTTGTGAGGGAGGTGGAACAGAGCTGGAGACACATAAACCAACATTAGGGATTTACGACATGTGAATACCAGTTCTTTAAGATCATTTGTAGCGTTTTCTATTATACTGCCCAGCCCAGGACTGATTGATATTAAAAAATAATGAGGTATAAAAATAGACTGATTAAATGTGTTTTAATGAGTTTAACGAAAAAAGAGCACCCAACTTAAGGAATGAACCAGTGTTGTCGTGACAGACAAATTAGCAAAGGAGTTCTGTAAATTGGACCTTTGGCCTTTGGGAGTGTATCCAGACCTTTGTACAGTGAATTCCACATATCTTTAGAAAAATTTATTGTTAGGGTGAGGATCAGTATTTTAAGGATCTAAATTAAATAAATATACATACATATTTAAATCCTGTCAGCTATTAAATGTCTGTCAAATTTAGTTATATGTGACTCATTTATTTTTTTCATGAAATTACCTGAATTATACTTTGAATTCCATCTAACGTCCCAAGCAAAGAGGACAGGGGCATCCCTACCTCGCCGGAGCAGAAAAGTCTCCCCAGAGAAGATCTGAAGTCGGGTTTGACTGAACCACCGTGTTTGAGTTACTGCTGTCCAGCTCCAGCAGGCAGCCTGATGGAGACAGCAGAGCACGGAGCGCGTTCACGTTTCAGGCTCACTTTAAGACCGACAGACACTAATTAACACAGCGAACAGGAAAGTGGGCCACACGTGTAGCCTAAAGCTGCGCCGGGGCTGAATTCCCCTGTGAGGAGCAGCCTGAAAGAAAACGTAGGGTCTGAAACAGGAAAAGCATCTCATCCAACAGACTAAAGCTCATCTATTCATTCGTATCGAAAAGATTTATGTGGGGGGGTGCTGGTCCATCTACCTGTGGCCATGCCTCCCGTCTGCACAACTGTGTTGTGATTGGATGAGCCCGACGAAGCAGGCGGGGCTATTTTGCCCCCAGGCGGTGGTGGGAGGAGTCCAAACCCACCTGAGCCCTGTGGGCGGGGCTTATCCCTCTTTTTCCCTTGCTGCAAAAGAAGAAAGTTCATCAGATGATGAGACAGTGTTCATATAAACTAGATTAAATGTGCAAACTAGATTAAATGGGGCCGGCTGCAGCTCAGGGGCCGCAGCAGCCCCAAAGCCCCATATCTGTGATAGTTTATTTCTCCAAATATTCCACAAAACTGGCTCTTACTCCGATATTAAGTGTGATGGTCTGTCCCTCCTTAAAGCCCAAGTCCAGCTTTGGTCCCGAGTCTCCGAGGTGGGCGTTTTTACTGATTTCATTCTCCTGTTTTACCCATCTGCAGAGAGCCGGAGACACACACCATCAGCAGGGAGACAGAAATAAACAAAGCACCTCAGCAGTTTCCAGAAAGACTGCAAGTAGAGAATGTTTTAAAGAGGTGGTTCGGCTGACCTCTGCTGCAAACTGTGACAGTAAACAGAGTAAAAAAAGGGTATAATGCAACTTTAATGTTTGACGAGTTGTATTATTCCGCAATAACTTTTTATGAGCATTTAACAAAAAAAAAAGCTGTTTTAATTCTCAGTTTTTAACATTATTAAGTGTGAGTCTTTAAATTTACCTTAATCTATTAGCAAATGGATAAGTAATCGCCATATTACATCCTAACCACACCGCTTACTTAAAATGATCCTGCAAAGCCACATTGAAGTCAAAGGCATCTCCCCGGTCCCCGAAGCCGACTCCAATAAAAGCACTGCGACCTGCACACGACCAACGGCCATGAAAACCAGAAAATTTGGTCATTTCAGGTCTTTAGACTGAGCAGTAGGGTTAAAAAAAAAAAAAAGAGACTGACCGTTGTCGTCCTGTATCCTGAGAACAAAGTAGCGGCTGGAGTCGCTGACGGTCTCCACGGCAACGCCGGGATACTCCCTCACAGGCGCCTGGGCGAACAGCTCCCCTACAGGACAGAGCACAACATCTCTGTGCCAAAACAGCAGCACTCATTGTCCCGCTACCTGGTGTGTGGACATAGCTGACAGAGTCCTGCAGAGCTGGCAGCTCCTCCACACTGTGGGGGGGGGGGGGGGCTGCCCCGGGGTCCAATTCAAAATCAATGTGTCGAACCTGACACTTTGTCCTCAAGTTTGATGAAGGCCACTTTGCCCTTTGCTGTGATCCTCATCCGACCAGACCAGTCCGGAGAGTCCAGCTTCCAGTCGGCCGCCCTGCAGACACAACCAAAGCTTTGAAGTCAGTGTCTGTAAAAGGCTTGTTTGGCTTCCTTCTCAATATAGACCCTTCTCAAGATTGATCATGAATTAGTTGTTTCTTTGTTTAGAAACAATCACATTTAGTGAAGATAAGAAAAGATACAGACGAAAAATAAAAGGACTGAAAGATGACCCAGCCAAGATTAATTCAAATGCAACACACTGAATGCAAGACCTACTTTTTAATAAGCTGTCATTTCTAGACCCAAATTAATTTGAAAACTTCCAATACGTTTAGCAATTTTTCTTAAATTAAGTCGCATGTGGGGGGTTTAAGAAATCTCTATTTTGATAATAAAGATTTTTCAACTTTAAACTTTGCAAACAGCTTTAACATTTCATTTTTAAAACAGTTAGAATTCAGGGTCAGACACTGTCCAAGAAAGCAAAGTGAGTCCAAATATGAATCCAAGTAGTTCCGATAATAAACCATGTTGAAGCCAATATGTGATAACAGCTCAACAAAAAAAGCATGTAAATTCATTTAATTGTCTGCAGAAAATAGTCTAAAGAACCATTAAGATGCAAGCAATGAAAAGGGTGATCCATTTGACAGAAATTCATATTCCACCTTTGATGTCAAAGGATTTTGGGTTATCAGGGGACACATTTCCAACGTCCTGTGTGATGTCTTACACTTAAACTTTTACAATAAAAAAGATTCCACAGAGGTTTAATCACAAGTCCGGCTCTGAAGTTTTGGCTGCTTTCTGGTGCCTTAGGGCCGGATGGGGCCCGTTTCACATGTTTGCCCCGTGGCCTCTCACTGGGGGGCTCCGGCCATGGAGAGGCCAACATGGTGGCCGTGGTCAGGCTTCATCTGCAGGTGGATTTAGGTCCTAAAAGTCCAGTTTCAGGGGGAAACGTCTCTCTGCTGCCTCTCGGTCCGGCGCAGTGGGACTTCCCAGCTGTCACGCATGCTGAGCGTGGGACTGCTCTGGCAGATTGCCCATTTATCGACCCGGCACGATGACAAACAGCACCGGCGACATTTCTGACAGCTCCATTAAAGCGACACGGAAACACCAAACATGCGTTTGCTTATTTCCACCCCCCCGGGGCAGGTCTTTCCCCTCTGTGAGGGGAGCTGAACATTATGACAGCCGTGTCACTCTCCGTGGCCGGAGAAGTGATGGACGGGCGGTCCAACACCCTAACCGAGCGGCTCCGAACACCGTAAACGAACACCCTCGCGCCTCCGCTCGCGACCCCCGGGCGTTACTTTACCTGTACGCGCGGTTGGACGCTCGCGGCGGGATGCGGTAGACGTTGACATCTGGCTTAACGCACAGGATCGACTCGTACTCTGGCTCGGCCGCCATCTTGATCCGACTGTTATTGATGTGGGAGTTGTGGCTGTGAGTCATTTATTCTCTTAATTTCTGAAGGGGGTCCGGGAGCGTACGTGACCGGTGCACGACGCCCTAACGGCCGGGGGTGGCGTCAGAGGCGTCCGTAACGGTCTTATCTGCTCGATAACTTAATATTAAGGAAGATTTGGGGGTTTCCTGCGTTCCCTCTTTCGTCTCAGAGTACAACATGCAGTGCTGGGTCACACAAATGGGCGTTTGGCGGAGGAAGAAATAAAAAAATAAGTCGTGAGGGGGCGTGGAGCGGCAGGTGCGGAACACTGCGGAAGCGGAAACCGGTGGTCGAGTCGTCTCCTCGAAGATTCCTCAATATCATTCCATGGTTTGTGCGTTATTTTTTTGCCTTAAACTCGCATGTTTGACGTGAAAAAAAGCCCACGGATATTCAGGGTAGTTTTCTAGCTGCAGTGAGTGGCATTTCGCTTGATTTATAGCCCTTAATTTGGTCAATGGTACGTGTTGTTGAGATGAGTCTCGCGTGCTTGACAACAGCGCTTGGCTGTTAGCCATATTGACGGCGGCTACTCGTCTTCAGTCGCTGTCCGAGGTGCTGAAACACGCACCGTGACACATAAACGACACGATACTTGAAACCAAGACGGCATGCAGTCAGAATCAGTCACAATGAGCATCATTTTGTAGTCTTAGTCAGATTATCACCCTGTTTTCTCGACCTAGCTGCAGGGTGCTTTTGGCTAACTAGCTTGTAGCCTAGCTAAATGAAAAGCTAGGCGAGGACCTGTGCTTGTCGCAGTGATAATGTCAAACTGAACTGGAGATACAAGCTGACAGGTGCAGCAGGTGCAATTAAGCTAGACAGTCACGCATTCATAATCGTCTTGCCAGTGTTAGGCCTTGCCAGGCATTGCCTCAGCAGCTTTTTTGTTGGCTGTTCCCTCCCTGCAGCTGTATCTGGTTACTGACATCCAAACGCAAACCTGTGCAGTCAGGATCAAGAAGAAGCTGCAGGATGACCACGCACTGACCCACACATTAAGTGCAAGCAACACCTTATTCGATATCTACTGGACAGGGGCAGCTTTTTCTTAAGGTATGTGCATGCATACTGGCATTTCTTGATCTTTTTGGCCTGGTTCTTGGAGCGTGCAGCATTATTATTCCCCCTCTGCATTAGATTGCGGAGGTTTGACTCCCCACCTTCCACCTGGACATCATGACTTCCTCTATGCTCCGGCGACAACTGAAGAACCTGGTCCAGAACTATTCTGAGGCTGAGGTCAAGGTAAAGTCAGCTGTTCATGACTAAGATAAACAGATTGTGTAGATTTTGATTTGCAGATTATATTAATTTATGTGTCGTGACATTAGCAACCGATCTTCAACAGTTTCTGTGGTTACAGTAGCAAAAATAGTAACTATAGTTACACTGTCAAAGCCTTCTTCCTTTGAATGCACCCAACTGTGGCCTCAAAGCATCAGAAAGTAGTTTATTTTCAACATCTGTTTAGGAGATGTTGCAAAGTTGAGGGAATAAAACACAATATTTTAATGATTACTAATGATTTACTGTAATGAGAAGTTACACAGCTGCCTTGACCTTAAACTTCTGAAGTCATCTTTCTGTCAAGATGCCATTTCTTATCCTTCCTGTAGCTGCATCAGACACCGTCAGTCCTCAGTACAGTTTTCTTATTTTGCAGGTGAGAGAAGCAACCTCTAATGACCCATGGGGTCCATCCAGCTCTCAGATGGCTGACATTTCAGACCTCACATACAATGCAGTGGCCTGCAACGAGATCATGACGATGCTCTGGAAACGTCTGAAAGACGACAAGAATTGGAGACACATCCATAAGGTAAGCAACAGATTGAGAACACTGTGAGAAAGAACTTTTAACACCCCTCAGATTTTGTCTTATGAGTCATTTCATTGCCATGGCAACACATAATAAACTTCAAGGCTAAGGGCCTTCATCAAAGCGGTAAAAAGAGTAAAAAACACCCACTGTTCATCTGTTATCATTATGTAGCATTATATACGTACACCAAGCAGATGAGTGAACCTCCGTGTAATGTTAATTACTTCCGGCCCTATGGTCATTTCTCTGATTATTTAGTCCCTCACCTGGGAAGCATTGGGTAGTTTGTAATATAATATAGATTTTGGTCAGGATAACTGGAAGGACATTAAGCATAAGGTCTAAAAATTTTGCACAAAAAAACAAAACATACTTTTGTATTTTAAATTTGTTAACGTTCAGCTGATGAAAATCCTCAGCAGATCGTGTAAAGTTACTTAATATAATCAGGTATGAATCTACAGCTAATTCCAGCTGATATGAACACAGTGTTAGCACTGAAGTATTGTTTGTTTTGGGTTTTTTTGTTGTTCATTTATCCTTTTTGCATAATTTATGCAATATTTATGGAGGTTTTGTTTTGTTCAATTGGTTCAGCTATTACCTTTTTCGTGTTTTGTTTTTTGTCCTAGTCGCTCACTCTGCTGGAGTATATCTTGAAGACTGGCGATGATCGTGTGCTTCTGAAAATGAAGGACAACATCTACATCGTCAAAGCTCTTACAGAGTACCGCTTTGTGGAAAAAGACGGCAAAGACCAGGTGATGATGAATAAGTCTTAATGTCCACGGCATACTGCCTTTTAGCTCCCATTAAAGAGTTGCATGCCGTCCATTAAGATTGCATTAAAGTTGCATGAAAGTGATCTGAAAACATCCATCATCCTTCGTTTTGACCTTCGATGCAAAAATGATTCGTCAGTATAGTCTTCGCTGAAAAAGATTAACTACAATAGGAAGTTTTTACAATATTTGCGTCTTGTTTTTGTTTTATTGAAATTGTTAGAATAATAGTCATCATTTGACTTATAGTTTTGCCTTTTAGTTTTTTTTATACATATATCTTTTTTTTTTAAGAAGACAAACTGTGTTGGTTAGTGCCAAGATTAAGTCTAATGTAGCCGTATTCGTCCTAGGGGACAAATGTAAGAGAGAAGGCCAAGGTTGTGCTTGTTTTAATGGAGGACGATGAGAAACTGAAGGCGGAGAGAGACTTTGCCGTCAAAACCAGGGAAAAGACATCCAAAGGATCTGCTGGTGAGACTTTCTTTGTCACAGGATCGCTGCCAAATACCACTTTTTTAAACAGCTGTATACCCTCTGATATCTTTACCTGCCGGACTCTAACACAAACCTCTTATCATTTCCTTGCCCTCTGCCAGCCTCATCCTCTGATGCCGTCAAAGATCCCAGCTACAAGCCGTGCTACGTTCCTGGATCTTCAGGACTTCCTTCTCTGGATAACATACCCTCAGTAGCTGACCTGACTGCCTCCTTCACTGCCCGTAAAGAAGAGCGCGCTCGTCAAGAAGCCGAGAAGAAAGAAGCAGAAAGAAGGGTAAGTGTCCAATACACAGCTACTGGACGCAAGTTCTACGGCAATATTATCCTGTATTATGTCATTTTTTGTTAATTTTTTTGTGTGAACGGCAGTTATACTAGCATTGAAACATATTTGTTTCGCCTTTTCTTCATTTTCATGTAAAAGGCTAAGATGAGTGAAGATGAGCTGAAGTGGGAAGATGCAGCCAAAGGCACAGACGCGAAAGCTACTGTTTGGGGAGGAGATAAAGAAGAGGAGGAAGAGGAAAAAGACGCATGGGGAGCCCCCAAAGAACCCAGCAGTGGTCCATGGGGGGCGCCGGCCAAAGCTGAAGATCCCTTCGCAGCGGCAAAAGCGGAAGAGGATCCATTTGTGGCGCCAAAGAATGCGGAAGATCCATTTACGGCTCCAAAGAATGGGGAAGATCCATTTACGGCGCCAAAGAATGGGGAAGATCCATTTGCAGCGCCAAAAGACAAACCTGATCCCTTTGGAGCATCAAAAGATGACCCATTCAATGCCCCCAAAGATACAGAGGATCCATTTGCTGCCCCAAAAGATAAACCAGACCCCTTCAGTTCCTCAAACAATGATCCATTTAATGCTCCCAAGGACGATCCCTTCAACGCTCCCAAGGACGATCCATTCACTGCACCTAAGGACGATCCGTTTAATGCTCCAAAAGATGATCCATTCACTGCCCCTAAGGACGATCCATTCACTGCCCCTAAGGACGATCCGTTCAACGCACCCAAGGACGATCCATTTACTGCTCCAAAAGATGATCCATTCAATGCTCCCAAGGACGATCCATTTAACGCCCCTAAGGATGTTCCATTCAAAGCTCCAAAAGACGATCCATTCAGTGTTCCCAAAGATGATCCGTTCAATGCTCCAAAGGCTGATCCATTCAACAGTCCTAAGGATGATCCATTCAACAGTCCTAAGGACGATCCATTCGAGGCTCCAAAAGATGATACTTTCAGCGCCCCAAAAAATGACCCCTTTATCACCTCATCAGACGATCCTTTTAGTGCTCCAAAAGATTACCCTTTCACTGTCACTGTGGCTGCATCTACACCCCCTAAAGAAGAACCCTTTGCTGAACCCACATCTGCAGAGGATCCCTTCACTGCTCCTGCTACGTCCCCTAAAGATCCTTTCTCAGCACCAACCAAATCTGCTCAAAATGACCCCTTTGCTTCACCAACAACGCCACCTAAAGAGGATACTTTCTCTTCCACGGCAATACCTACAAAAGACGACCCTTTTGCAGCACCGTCTACACCCCCTAAAGAGGACCCATTCACAGTGCCATCCAGTCCACCAAAAGATGAGGCCTCAGATCCCTTCAGTGCCCCTCCAGTGGAATCGCCCAAAGACAGTGCAGATACATGGGGAAGCCTGACCAGTTCCCCACCAGCTGCAGGCTCTGATGCTTGGGGAGAAAGCTCTGCTCCAAAGGAAGCAACCTGGGGGAATGGGGCAAGTGCCTCCTCACCTCTTGACAATTCTGATCCATTTGGGGATACATCCAAACCAGACGACGACCCCTGGGGAGCTCCAGGTAAGCAGCGATTTGCCATTCCTTTGCCATTATCAGAAATATTTTTCTACTCCTTTCCACCATGTTTCAAATACTTCTTGAGTCAACCAAACATGCCGAGGAGTCATCTTAAATTCAACTGTGTCAGACCACATGTCTTGAGCATAACCCTGAAATCAGTTAGCAATTACAGCTGAGGCTTCTGCTCAGTGGCATGAGGAGGAGAATGAATCTCCGCATTAATCATTATAAATATTATATGTTTTTTCTGTTTTACCGGACTACTTCTACGGTATCAAATTGATAATTACAGAACTTCTTCAAGTGCTTTTGAAGTAAGAAAAAGATACTGACTGTCTGCCATATTCTGAGCTTTTAAATTGTTAATGATCCGTTGGCCAAGGCAGGGACTAAAATAGAAGAAAAAGATTTCAACTGTTAAAAAGTAGACAAAGAAAGGTTCAAGTAGATAGCTCTGACTTTACACTCTGGTCACAAACGTATTTAAAGAATCAGCCAAGACAAGCTTCTCTTGGAATAAAATATAAATAACCCCACAATTATGTGATACTCCAAATAATCTGGATCTACTTCTGTTAGAGTTTAGAGCCAAAAGATCATTTTGTGTAATGTTTAAGTCGCTCAACCCGCAAAGTACCAGCAGATGACCGTTTCTCCTGCTTGATTGTAACTGCTCAGCTTCAGCTGCGGGTAATGCGGACGATGCATGGGGTGCCCCAGCTCCCCCCGCAGACTCCTCCCCCTCTGGAGACCCGTTTGGAGATTCTGCGTCTAAAAAAAACGATCCCTGGGGGGCACCGAGCAGCGCGAGTGGCGGCGGGACGGGTAAGTTCACCTGACGTGTGTGTCCATCTCTCACCTGGACCATCAAATGCTTCTCTGACTAAACCTCAGACTGCTGAAAGATGTAAAAAGTCTGACTTAAAACCAGTAAAGTTAGAATCGATACTAAACTCTGCTTCTGAGTGGCCTCGCCACCTGTTTTTACACAGCTCTTTGCCTCCATTTCATCTCCATTTTCCCACCTGTCGGCTAACAATCTGGATCAACTAACCTTCTCTTCCGCTTTGCTCTCTCCTCCTCCTTGACCTGCTTTCCAAAGAAAACACCTTTTAGAGTAGCTTTGGACCTTTATTTAATTGCAGGAAAGCGAACAGTGCAGGACAACGCAATGTACAGAAAGACTGCCTCCTTCTTGGGCGCCGCCGGGGCGTGTCTGGTTGACTTGGACGATCTGCTTTCCTCTAATCCCAAACCCGGACAGCAACCCCCCACCAACGCAGCACAAACACAAGCCATGGGTAAGGACCCAAACCAGAGCCTCGCTCGGGACGACCGACAGCGTTTTTCACTTTGTACGGAGTTGTTCACGCCTCACCTGACTGCAAAGGAGACGCGATCGATCTGACACGAGCGCTCGCCACAGCGGCTCAGCTGGGCTCTTCAGCCCAGAGGGGCGGGCACAGAGAGGGGTGCAGACGGTGACTGACCATGCATCATCAGTGGGTCTGGATGGAGAAGCTTTTAGTGACCGTGTTGTCGTTCCCCCGTGGTCTCGCTGTCATGTATCGGTGTGATGTTTGTGTGTGTCTGAGCGTTAGCCACCTATTTAAAGCTACTCTGTACAGAGACTGGTGTGTATTAACCAGAGCAAATGTTCCCACCCCTCTCTCTGCTCTGCTCTGGTGCATTTTTTCCTCTTTGCTGGAACACTTTGGACTGCATGTCCCTCCCCCTTCCTCCACCCTCCTGTCGCTCCTCTTTGTTTCCCAGGCGCTTCCAAAGCCAAAGGCACGCCGTTTGCTTCTGTGGTCAGAGCAGGAGCTTTAGCCGGCCCGCCGGCGCCGTGCAGCGGTCCTTTTGGTTCCAGCCCGGCACCCTTCCGCGGTGCGATCTCTCCCGTTTTCGGAGCTTCCGATCGTACAGGGGAAAGGTCCCAGTTCCGGGAGCCATGGCACGCTGCCCTGCTGCCCCACTTTCCCTCCGCTGTGCTTCAGGCAGCCCCGCTCGCTCCGGGAGCGGAGCAGCCCCCGTCCGTCAGAGGGAGTCTTCAGACGGGGAAACAAACGGGAATAATGCAGCCGGGGTTTCCCGTCAGGAGTTCTCTGGCAGCTGAAGCCTCTCTGTTCTGTTTCTCTGGAGGGAACCTCCCGACAGGAGCCGCTGCCCCACAGAGCCGGGGGGGAGGCGGCGGGGTGGACGGGACCGCTCATAAAAGCAACAATCCGTTCCTATTCTAACTGCTGCACATGTAAAGCTCCTTCCTTCCCACTAAAGCATCACAGGGAGTAGTTCTGCATGTTAGTTTGGAGCAGCCAGGCCCAGCTCTGCACCTCTCAGGCTGCTCCTGCTCACCATGGTATGAAACTCGGCTTGTAGAGCTCACAGTTTAGCATTCACTGGGGCAATGCAGCTGTTTTATGGATTCATACTCGTTTACAAAGGTGTTCTTGAACAAATAGTTTCAGAAACTAGAAACTCAGTTTACCATGGAAGAAAAATGCATTGAAATCCCCAAAAGGTGTCGAAGAGTGCTATTCACTCAGTGGGTCGAGTCTTTTTCAAACCTCAGCCAGTCAGAAGAAGGAAATATGGTCTCTGACTGACTGATGATTTGGTACTATGAGGATGTGTCAGTTTCATTCCAGTGAGAGATGAGTGGATTGATTTCATCCAGCTGCTGTTTCTCCGTCCATTCAAAGCGTGCTCAAACCACTCGTTCCCCGTAAAGCAGTGTGATGGAGTGGTTTGGCACTCCTGAGTAAAGCAAAGCAAAGCTGAGCAGAGCAATACGTTCAAAGCAGCAAAAAAAAGGACTTTTCCTGACTGTGGGGCAGATTTTGAGCTGGGAGAACAGCCTGGACGTTGTATCAAGAGGCCTCACGTTGTATCAAGAGGCCTGAAGGCATGAAGCTGTCCTAGAATCACCTGATTAACCCCCCACACCCCTCCATCTCAACCCCCCATATGTCCATTTAATGAGTTAAATGGATGGATTAGATTGAACAATAATTTGTCATGCACACATCTGACAGACAGAGATCACCTGATTAGTGTGTGAGTGTGTGTTGCCGTTGGTTTTCGTTAAGAGTGTATGTCAGTGTGTGTGTGTGTGTGTGTGCGTGAAGTATTTATTGGTGTAAATAGTGGCAGAAGTTCTGATAAACCTTGAAGTATGCTGTATATCAGAGTGTTTCAATCTATTTATTTGTGGATTTGTTACTCAAACGCCAACACAGCGGCGGCGCCCAACAAGGAGAAATTTAGAGGAGGGTTACAGATGTGATGCGCCTCCCCGTCTCTGCCTCATGGTTTGACTTGGTGGCCGACGGTTTGGCTCACTGTGTGCGCCCCAAACTTCACACCACAAAGGTTTAGCGGGTTGAATCAAGACCGAATTCAAACACGTCAAAGTGTTTTTCTGCATGCTGTCAGAGTAGATCCCGTAATCATCCTGTAATCTGTGTGTGTGTGTGTGTGTGTGTGCGTGCGTTATTTGGTGTTGAACGAAAGAAGACTTCTATGAAAGCTGAATCAGAGGTGTGTGAACTGGTTTGATGTTCGACTTTGAGAGTAAGTGAGTCGCGAAGCATCAGAGCTGGCGTTCAGGCCACTTAGATTTAAGTCTTTTGTGTTTTTTGTGTGTAAACGGGACCGAAAGGGATCAGTATGAAGAGCGATCAGAGTGAACAATGACTACGATTCAGATTAATTTTGTATTAAATGACTTTATTTTGCTGTGTATTCAAATTTAAAGCTGTGTTGTAAACTGTGACAGTATACAGTACGTTTGAGAAATAAATAAAGTGATACTCTAACTTACTCCTCACTGACGGACCTACAGTTTTCTTTTAGAAGAACTTATCTCTCCTTATTTTCTTTTCAGGTCTCAGCTAACAGAACCTGCTTATTGTCACCACAAGAGGGCCATAAATGCACGTATGTGTAGAGAGAATCTGATAACCACGTGGGTGGAGTCACTATTTGTCGATATGTGAATCACTTTATTATATAGCTCAGAACCTGCAGCATCATGTATTTTAGATATGAAGATCAAGGTATAAAATCGTAAATATGATTTTTCTATTAAGTTATTTATTAATTCTTAATGTTTTCCCTGGATGTTTTCACAGTCTGGTGTATATCTGCACGATAAATGTATTTCTTTTTCTGTGCTGTGAAGCTTTCAGGGCATCTAAACACAGCTTAGAGGAGACCAAACGACATGTTCTCCATCAAAAGGCATTTACAAGCCCAAAAGTTATTTAAAGTCATGAGGAAAAACAGAAAACCATCAGAACAAAACACAATCTGTTACCCGAAACGAATTTTAAGCCGCGTTTATTCACTTTTCCTTTCATCTGCTCGTTCAGTTATTTCCTGTTTAATTTAGCTGTGAATGGTAAGTGGAGGCCATTACAGAATTAGATGAGAAGAGGAGTAAATGTTGAATAGATAGCTGAGCCGGATCTGAGTCTTTTCATTCAGGGACAGAAGAGCTTAGTGTCTAAAAACAGAGGAAGGGGGGGGGGCACAGATTGGGAGTTTGACAGTTTGTCAGCATGTGTCGCATTAGGAAGGGATGGCCAGCTGAGTCCTTGTGATGCCTTTTTTTCCCCTTTCTTTACACAAGCAAGTCACGTCACATAATCCAAAGCGAAAGCTTCTTATTTATAGCGAACCAGTTTCAAAATGATTGGAATTATAAATGATTAATTAATATATATCCTGGTGTTCCTACTCACAGACCACTCGAGTGATTAAACCTCTGAGGCCTCGCACAGACTTCTGCTTCAGACCAGATGAACATTATAAAGCTGACGTTGAGGTAACGGCTGCAAATATCCTTACACGTGAAACTAAAAGCCTCTGTAACACAGTTAAAATCTAATAATCTGACCAGCCCTTACCCTGACCCACTAAAAACTAACATACATCATGTAATATGGCCTCCAAACCAACTCTTTTCCCCATGATGAACTAAAACACAACAATAGGTGCAGAACAGAGGACGTCTTTCATTTTCAGACGTACAGCAAGAAAGGTCTCCTTAAAAAGTCTTAGAATTAGTGAAAAATTATGGGATTTTTAACGATTTTCGCAGAAAAAGGAACAGAAAACATCATGTAACATCTGTCACACGGGTCAAACTGACCCGAGTTTGCCTCCCAGCCATCGTAGGTTAACCAAAAGAAAACTGACAAACATCAGCTGGATGAATCGGGATTAGAAGACTTTCTCTGATTAAACTCTTATAAAGACTGGATGTTAGCAGCTGTGGAAAGCTGCAAAGATGCAATATTTAATAAGAGGGATGAAAAACAGCAGCGGCGAGGTTCATAAAAGGGGAAATAGGACAATGCTGCACTGTTCACACCGTGGAGCCACAGCTAAGAATGACTTTAATGATAAGAAAAGGAACCTCCGCTCATGAGGTTTAAATGGAACATTTTCATCCATCTCAGAGAAATTTGAAAGAAAAAGCTGCTGGTGCACATTTACATTACATTATGATTTAATCTCATTGGTGGACTTATGAAACATTTGGGAATTTTTATGATTTAGAGTTCTTTTCCTTCTATTTTGAGTGTATATCATATGTGTAAGAGAAGAGGAAGACTGCTGAAATAGTTTCAGTGTGATTTAGTGATGAAATAGTCATCGTAAGTGGTTTCATTGTGCTGTAAAAATTCAGTTTTGTGTCAGTTCTTTTGGCTATTGAATAAGCTGGATGTCATATTCTCAAAAAAACTCTACTTCAATGGCAGCTTTTTACTCCAACAGGTGATACCTAGACCTCAGTGTTACCATCCGTTTTCTATATGAACATCATGGTGCTATCATCACAGGATGCTTGGTGGGAATGCAGCTGTTAAAGAGGCAGAGCACAGGCTCAAACAAAAAAAAAAAAAAAACCTGCATCTGCAGTGTTTAGAGCCACCGGCTGACCTGACAGTCTGGTTTGAGGCTGTGGCAGGAATCAGCTGAAGCATGTGACTCCCACGTCCCCGACAAGTGTGTGTAAACATCTGAGCACAGCCGCGCAGCTGAGCCGGATTGTGCTGAGAAGGTTCAAAGTTTAAAGAGCAGCAGGCTCCATGAGATTACCACACTATCCCGGTAATCTCAGCCCAAGCCCTTCTATACCATGGTGTCAAATTAATTATTACGGGCTGGGAGAGTGGTGGAAAAAGAAACAGAAAGGCTGAAAAAAAAAAAGGAAGGAATTGACACAATATGAGGCGCGAAGGGGAGGGAAAGTAACAGCTGGACTTAGAGGATTAGAGGAAAATCTGGGTGGGTTTCTGATGGAAACTCACCGAAGACAGAGGACAGAGATGTGAAAGAAGCTGGAAGCCCGCTCGGGAATAGCTGGAGGGGAACAGAAAGTGAAACCTGGTGTGAAGCCGCTGACATGGTGAGTGGACCTGGTTTAATTGTTTCTAATCTCTTTAACTCTCACAGTTGCAGCTTCACACGCGTGAGCGGAAAGGTTTCGGCACATCCTGATGAGATGGATGTTTCACACAGGAAGCACAATGAGGCGCAGCTCCCATTGGGACTTTGTTTCAGGATTTTATGTGCTGCTTGTAATCAAAATCTCCCTCCACGCACACGACCTGACAAATTAACTGCCAAAAAATCCCTACAAATCCTACTTTTAATGCAGGTAAAGTAAATTCAGTTTGTGGTTTATAGCTGTTTAAATGTTTTAATCCAGAGATTAAAGATCTATTTCAATGTTTGCTGTTTTTAATCAGTTTAGTTGAAAAAATATAAGAAAATACAACAAAAATCAGTATGTTATCAAAAATGTAGGATTATCTGAAAGAGACTTTGGTGATTATCTTAGTCAAAAAGGTCATTCTTTTCGAAGATATCCTTGTGTTGCATATCAAATCTGTTAAATTTTTCTTAAATCAAAACAAGTTAAATCTGAAGTTAAGTCTACGAATTAAGCTTTTATTTACTTAAGTATTGTGCAAAATGAAATCTTTAAGTGTCTTTGTAATTGCAATTTCTTTATAATTTGTGTTTTCTCTTTTTTTTGGCTGATTAATATTGGACTAAATTAATTCTTAGTCTTTCTGTAGTAAAAAAAAAAAAAAAAAAAAACTACTGATGATGTTTGATTAAAAATGATAAACTCAAGTCGATTTCCTTCTTTATGAGGAACTGTGAAGGATTCCAAGAAATCTGACGTTCAGGAAGCTGCAGCCAAACAGATTTAGAGGGACACAGAAGGCAAAAAATTTAAAATTAAGTCCCTTTAGGCTTAAAGGAAAAGGAGAAAATGTACAAAATGTTGAGGCGGATGAGCCCAGAACAGATATTAAACATATTTCTGATTTGATATGATTTTAACATATTTCTTCTTATATTTCTGGAATGCGACTGCTTTAAAAAGTGACCCAATGGTACATAAAGCATAAAAAGCAAGTGTTTGCTCATATTTATTCAGTCTGTCTTGCTGTCTTCAAGCCTGAAGTTTGGAGGATCCTCAATGTTTGAACAATGAAATGTGAAGAAATGTATCTGATTGCACCGAGAATGCAAGCATGCCGGGTTTAAAAATGCTGTAATTGCCCTTTTTATCATGGTGACGGAGGAGTCAGATGTTGGCTTTAAAAGGCAAGATGTGAGCGGCCGACGAGCAAAAAACTTTGTGCAAACAAGCTAAATATGCTGTCAAGGCAGAAATCCCAAAAATTCAATAAGGCAAAAAAGAAATGCTGGACAGAAAATAAACAGCAGTTTGGTGTTGGTGTGCTTTCTCTGGCTGATGGAAAAACGTAACATTTTAGCTACTTTTAACTGAATTTCAAGGCAAACCTTAATAATATTTGCTTAGATTCATTGGAAATTCCTTTTAGTCCTGAATGGTGATTTTTTTCATCTTTAAAAAATGAATGAAGGGGCCTGTTTTCTTGGTTTTTAAGCATGTTTGACCCTCACATACAAGCAAACTGATGAGACCTGAGCAGAGGAGCCACTCCCTGCCTTCAGCCATCTGCTTCTGCCACATTAAGCTCTGCTTTTGTCACCTTTAAGCCAAACATGGAGGCTTCTAGACACCCCTCTCCAACTTGTGAGAGAATCTAGGTTGAAATCTCGACGATTCGGTGATGAGCCGATAAGAGGCCGCTGGTCCGTCAGAACTGAGGAGCCCACTTGGATGAGAGGTTAAACGTCTTCCTAGAACCGAAAAAGAAGTCCAGCCCCCTGCTGTTTAAGCTTTTAGGATTATCTTTACAGGGATGACTGGCAATCTAATCAAACATGTCTCAAGCTTTTCTTTTCTTTTGGACAATTTCATCCAGATGTGTGACTTTTCCTTCTTCTCTCCCCGTTCAGGAGGTCACCCAGCGTCATCCTCTGGAGATTAAGGCAGTCGCTGAACCCAGAGGTGGGCCAGAGATGTGGGACTAATCGCTCCTTGGCGAGTTCAATCCCTCCTGAAGAGGTGAGGCGGCGGTTTGAGGTTGCCGACGATTAGTGGCAAAATCTGAAGGATAAGATTTGGAAGTTTATCTTCGTCCGGGGCGGGGGAGAGAAGGGAAGGACGCGTCGGCCAACCAGAGACGGATGGGAAATGTGAGCCCAGGCGGCGGACTCAGACGCCTTTAATAACCAGCCAAGAGATTGAAATGTGATTGCTTTGCTTTTCTTTGAATTTCCACATTTCTGAAACGGACGCGGCAGCAGGGGCGGAGCCGGAGCCCCTCAGCCCCGCAGACATCTGTCCTCTCTGTCTTGTGCTGGGAGAGATTAAATCCCGGCGCTCTCATCTTTCCTTTGCACCGACTCATCGAACGCTCTCGCCGCCCAAAGCCGAGCCCTCTTCCACCCACTCTCTGACCTCCCCCTCTGACCTTTGCTCCACTTTGCAGCCACTCCTAATCTCCTCCCCCTGCGTTCATCCGCCCTCCTGCATGAATCTCTCGGCTTCTCCAGCTGCCGCTCCTGGACATGTCTGACCCGTGCCACCGGATTCCTCGCCGTGGTGACCTGGGAAGCCCCTCTCTCCTCTGAGCCGCCTCCCGCCTCTGGCCCTCCGTCCAGCCCCAACGCAGACATGCTGGAGACCATGTCCCGCCGGAACCGCTCGCTGCTGTCGCTGGCCCTCACCTCGCTGGCGCTCACGCTGTCCGTCTCGGCCTTCTGCACCTCCTACTGGTGCGAGGGGACGCACAAGGTGGTGAAGCCCATCTGCCTGTCGCCCGTCAAGATGAAGAACTGCGGCAAGAACAACAGCCAGCCGTACACCACAGGTGAGGGCGGGGGGCGGGGGCAAAGCAAGCCATCCCGCCTTAGTTTACAGATGAACCTCTTCTCTGATAACACTGGAGCCATTAAATGAGCTTTTATCGTTTTCCAAATCTAAACTCTGAAAAAACCTTCCAGGAAAAGATTTAAAAATGGGTCTCTTAAAAGCCTAAGTGTCACTCCTCTGGATAAAAACCTACTAATTGGGAACTAATCGCATTAATAAAGATCCATTTTTGGGCCCTGACACCTTTTTCAGAGCAGTTTAGGCATGAATCTGGAGCTCTGAAGTCCAGGTTGAACATTTCTACACATGGGCCTTTTTCCTTTGGTGCCAGATGCAGGAAGCCGGCAACAAACATGAGTCCACAAGGTGTGTTCAGACAGTGGGGCGCGGCAGATGTGCAGTTCACAGATGTTCTCTCATGCTAAAGATTTGAGCTCATAAGTCCAGGCCTGGCCAAATCTACATGCCCATCATAAATCTCCTGAACAATGTTTATGAAAGTGTAAGAGGTTGATCTTAAAGCTTTGATTTTTATACATTTTTCTTGGGGGATTCCCATAATCCCGGCTTTGTTCTAATCTCAGTACATTGTATCTCTGGCTGCATTGTGTCTGGATTCTCCATTTTAAGCCTATTTTTTTCCATGTAGTTTGAGGAAAAATATGACTTATAGGACATCTGTTTCAGGGTTGATTTTTTCTCACGTTTATGCTGCTTTGTGGCATTCACCTCTGCCTTTCTTCATCCAGAGGCCCCCACCGTGGACCCCAGGGCCCCGGTATCCAACGTGACACTCACTCCACAGCAGAAGGAGGAACTGGCCCGGATAAAGAAGAAGCAGCTGGCCAACGCCGTCCAGTACATCTGGGAGACGGGCGAGGACAAGTACATGTTGAGATATTTCCACACCGGCTTCTGGCTCTCCTGTGAGAAACACAATGAAGGTTGGTGGGAGCAGATGGCCTGATCGGGGGCTTCACATGAGGATTAAAAATGAAAAGAACAGAAAATTACACTTTATGAATCCCCATAGGAGAAGTTATATTGTTGCAAAACAAATCACTAACATACATCTTCTATGAACTAAGATAAAAAACTATTGGCCTGGCAGAGAAATGGATCGCATCACATATACTTAGTTATCTTAGTTATCATACTCAGCTAGTGGGTTCAAAGCGGGCCTCCCCCTCATATTTCCAGGATTCATAGTAAGTGTATGATCCTCTGCATTTGGAGGATATCTGGTTCACATTCTGTGGGATGCTGTCATTTCCCAGGTGACGATCAGGAGGAAAAGTGCCGCAGCTTCATTGAACTGACTCCAGGAGAGACACAAGGTGGGTCTGGTGCCGGGTGTCCGCTTCTCAAAGCACAAACGTGGCAAATAAGACCCACGGTCCTGAAAAACCCCGCAATGGTCAGCAGCTGTTTCCCCTGGTCGCCTCCAGGTGTGCTGTGGCTGTCGGTCATCAGCGAGTTCATGTACATCGGCCTCCTGGCGATGGGCTTCCTGCTGATGTGCGTGGAGGCGGTCTGCCTCTGCGCCAAGAGGGAGATGAGCTCCCTGAAGATCAACGCCTACGCCGCCATGTGCACCGTCCTCTCAGGTGGGGACTCGCTGAGGGGTTACTGCAGGTCATCACGCAGGAGGCTTTTCCCCTTCATTTTGATGTGTTGAGCTGTGTCCTGTGCCTGTCACAACTTCTGATGATTTCCCCCTTTTCCTCAATATTTCCCACACATCACCCACATAGAAGACCTAACAGGAAGAAAAAACTAAAGAGGCAAGAGCTTCAAAGGAAGCATTTTAGATAGAAAGTGCTGGAGAGATGAGCACTGTGAGAGTATTAAAGCAAGTAAACCCATTTAAACATAAAGAAAAAGGAACAAATGGGATTTACAAAACAATCTGTAATGTGAATGAACTTTTGTATGGATTTGAATTTAAACAGCACCAAATGTGTATGTTTTCATCCCCCTAAAGTCAGCTGTACATGCAGCTACCCATGGTCAGGCTTTCAGGGTTTATCCTCTGGATTCCCCTCCAGATGTTTTTAGTCGGATGGGTTGAAGTTCCAGATTCCTAAAGAAAGCCGAACCCCCATCTCAGACTGCATTTGGCACCATCCATGATCCAGTGTCCTGGTCCCTGTTGATCCCTCCAGCACGATGGTGGTGGCACTATTTCATCTAATCTGACCAAAGAAAACTTTATTTTTATCCATCTTTCTCTTGATAAAAAAGGCAACTTGTACACCTTACAATGGTCCAAATGACAGCTTCCCTCATTCGTGGCCACTCAAATTAAAGCCTATAAATTTGACCACGCATCCTTTTCAGGTTTGTTTTCAAGACATAATCTTTCCAATTGATTGACTTAATGGTGCTCTGGTGGTGTATATTTAATAGGATCACAACCCTTATTACACAGCTAAGATACATTGAGGGCACAAGATTGAGCCCATTCAGTTAATAATGGGATTTCTCAAGGTTATTTTAAATTTTTTGTTCCATATTCTTGACCAAAAATCCATTCAAATTACAGGCTGCAATGTAAAAAAAATAATAGTTATAGGATCATCTTTGTTAGCATAGTCTTTATTATGTGTTCTCCCATGAGATGAGATTGTTCCTGTTTTTCTCGGAAAACCTTATTAACTCTTTTCCAAACTCTCTTCCCCTCCCTGTCCAGGCTTGATGGGGATGGTGGCTCACATGATGTACACCACGGTGTTTCAAATGACTGTCAGCATTGGACCCAAAGACTGGAGGCCCCAGTCCTGGGACTACGGGTGGTCTTTTGCGTAAGTTGGTTCCAGTTCATTCTAAGAAACTCCTGTATAGAAAATAATATTTCAAATTCCTTTTCAATTGAGAATTTCACCAATATATGGAAAAACGATGACATTGGGTGCGAATCTGATCCAACTGGAGAGAAAAACGTTGCAAAACTTGCTGCAAAAGAAAAGCAAAAAAAAGTGGCAAAACCTTTTGGCATTTTCAGCATCACTCTGTTTGGCAGGGGGGTCAGACTAAATTCCCATTTGTTTGCCCCGCAGCCTGGCCTGGCTCTCCTTCAGCTGTTGCATGGCGGCCGCGGTGGCCACCCTCAACTCCTACACCAAAACCATCATCGAGATGAAGCACCGGGCCAGGATGAGGCTAGAGGAGGCTCGAGCTCTCACCAGCGCCCCCTCCTACGAAGAGGTGGTGAGAGGAGGAGGAGGAGGAGGGGGGCTCTACTCCGTCAGCCAGCTGATCCAGCTCGGCCAGCAGGGGGCGCTCGTGGACCCGCTGTGGCCCAGGGGGGTTGGGCCGGCCGTCGGACCCATGGCCTGCAGCGCCGGGGGGGCGCTGCTGGTTGGAGGAGGAGGAATCGGGGTCGGGGGCGCGGGGATGGGAGGAGCTGGAATGGGAATGTATGGGATGGCGGCCATGGGAGGAGCTGGAATGGGTGGGATGGGAATGGGAGGAGCTGGGATGGGAATGGCAGGAGCTGGAATGGGTGGGATGGGAATGGCAGGACCTGGAATGGGTGGTATGGGAATGGCAGGAGCTGGAATGGGAGGGATGGGAATGGGAGGAGCTGGAATGGGTGGGATGGGAATGGGAGGAGCTGGAATGGGTGGGATGGCGGCCATGGGAGGAGCTGTAGCCGGGATGGGAATGGCAGGAGCTGGAGGATCCATGGGAGGACATGTAGGAGTAGGCGGGGGACGGCTGGTTGACCCTCACGGCATGGTGGTGTTGGAGGGATGCGGCGCTGAAGGATGCGAAGAGTGTGAACGGGAGATGGACGAGATGGATTACGCCCTGCAGGACGACAGGGAGGACTCCCTCTGCTGAGCCTGCCGGGGGCCAGCACGGAAAAGCAAAGACAGTTCTGCTTAACAATCAACACAAAACTTTAAGGAATTCCCCTCTGAGTGGAAACATTTCAACTTCCTCCAGCAAAGTGTGCAACAGGAGGTCGTCATGGCAACAGGGGTCATCGTGCCAGCTGTTTCGGGGAAAAACAGATCATGAAAACTGATGTGAATCTGGCTGGTTTGTGACTTTATACTGGCTGGAAAAGACAGAAAAGAAGACATTGGGATATATTTACAGACTTCTGAAAAGAATAGAGAGACAAATGCTGGTTGAGATCAGTGGACACAACTTCCAGGCTCTGGATTGTGGATTTATTGTGCTGATGGATTTTTGAGTAAAAACCGCTGTTATATTACGATATTCCAGACTTGTTTCTACATCTTCCATGAGACTGCGGTGGCGGGAAACTGATCCCACACCGATATCCTCAAGCAGTTTGTTAATTTTTTTTATGATTCAGAACTTATTATCATTAAATATATATTTTGAATGATTGATTTTCCCCTAGTGGGATTGATAACGTACTTTGAATTTAACTGAATTTAGATTTGAAAAAAATCTGATTCTAAAAACAAAAATTCCTTCCTCTATCCTAAATTGAACTTCTTTCTTCTTTATTTTATGATGTGTTTCCACCACAGCCACTCGGGGTAAAAAATAAACCCAAAACATCACACTGTTTCTGACATTTAAAGCACATAAGTGCACAGAGAGCAACTAACTGATGTTGCTTTTGGTCCAAAAACAAACTCTTAGTCATGTTGGTGCGCTGCGTGCCACAAAAAGGCGTTATTTAGGCTTAAAAGTGGGTCTGGATTCACCCTGGATTCCAGCTCAGCCGTGACATGAAATACGATTTTACTGGTGATTGGTAGCGGTTTGTGTAACTGACACAAAATTTGGATTTTTCATCTATTTGACTAAAACTAAGCCAAACTGGTCGTTTTCCACCTGCCAAATGGCTGGAACAGCCTGATACTTTAGGTTTGGTCACAAAAAAAAGCTGTTTATGGGTCAAATTTGTGAAACATCATGTCAGGTAAATTAAAATAAATGTTATTCTGTGGTTTAACACGTTTGCAGGAGAGTCTTCAAAGGGGTTTGAAAATTTGATGGGTTTTACTCTTGGTTGGTGAAATATTGACTCCAAGAATAGACAAAGGGGGATTCATTTAAATGCCTCAGCTTTGAAGTCACTTTATAATTAAATATATCCTTTTAAACAGGAATTACTCAGTTCATTTGTTTGTTTTTCGGCACGTTGCGGTTGTGTGTTTAATTTTCCTCCACAGATGGATCCGCTGCTCATGTGTTTTAGGGTCTGTCTGCTTTCTTTTAGTCCTTGTTTCACTCAAAATGAAATAAAGATGATAAAGATTTAGTGCGGTGCGTCCCACCATGATGAGAACCTCTGCTCTGAGGGCCTCAGCTTTGCTGATGCCTCTCAAAGCAACACAAATACCTAAAGGTTTTCTCTGAAAAACATCCCAAAGGCAGAATATTTCATTTTTTGCTTTCTCTCCAGTGGTATGATGTCCTATTAAACCGCGGCATTGTTCGAGACTCTTTATAATAGTTTCTGGCTCAGATACTTATGGTTCCCAGAGGATTTGTGCTGCTGGCTTTGATGGTCCTCTGACTTTTTTCTTTTGCCGGGACGCACACATTTGGGATGCTCGGTGAAATGAGCACAGGCCTGCAGCGCTGATGACTTTCCCTCCAGCCTCAGATGCACCCTGGGTTCAGCGGGCATGAATAACTGGCTGTGAATTTTGAGCGTCTGTACAGTACGTTCAGTAATAAAAGAAAAATAAAAGAGGATCAAAGATGACAGAAACAGAGAGATTTGAATGTTTTTGGACAGATGTTTTCCGATGCCGGACAGAAGATTATGTCACTAATCTCCCCAGTCAAGGGAATGAGACTGAGAGAGAGGGATTGACATAATATAGGCAGTGAGGCAGTGGGATGAAACTGACTGGGAGCTCACCGCCTCGTGCTGGATGTGGACAGTAATTAGAAATGTAATTTAAGAGCTTGGATTATGCAGAAGTTATAAAACAGTCACCATATGGAGAGTCAATCGCCCGTTTGTCACCAATCACAGAGTGACAGTCAGTTTTAAGGTTCAAGTTTTATTTCAATCATGTTAAATTTGAACATGTTGGGTTTTCAGAAGTCCCACTTTTCTATTTAATTAAATATGCTTGATAGTGTATTTGAGTATATCCTGTAACAGTTCAGCTCTGAGAAACACTGAAAGCAGCGCAAAGCACAAAACTCCATAGATGAAAAGGTGCCCTGTTAGTATTTTATTAGAGCAGAGCAACACTCACAGGGACTCATTTTGTGACTGAAAGTTGCTTTTTGGAGTGAATTCTGTTTTTTTACATGACAAATTTTGATTTTGTTTTGAAAAAGAAGCAAACGGATGGAAACCTGGAGCATCCTCTGAGCAAAAAGGTCCAATTGAAACAAGGTGATTTTTTTAAAAGTCTTATGTTAAGCTTTCATTTCACATTATTTTGTTGAGGCTGATGCATTTAGATGCCCTAAAGTCTGCTTCATATGGACTAAAGCAATAGCTATCTTTGCTTTCCTATCTTTGTGTGTTTTTATCTCTTTACATAAAAAAACATTTTATAAACTGATCAATTTTGGTGGAAAAGTTATGGCAGAAAGTTTATGACGATACAACCGCTGTTTGTTTGTTTTTAGCAGTAACCTTAACATAAATGTAGGTGATGCTTAAAAACACTCCTCAGCTTGACGTAACACAGAAATAAAAAAACACCATCTTTTCACACACTCTCTGTTTTGTTTATTGAGTTTTGTACAAAGGAAAAAAATCCAGGACCAACACTTTATTACTTATCTACAACAACAATAGACTCGAAGATCATTAAAGAAGACGCACGTTTAGACGAAAATGACAGAAAAGCATTTTTAGAGGTTGGGACAAAAAAGCTGAGTGATGGCAAAAGCAACCACTGAAAACTAAAGTGTGAGAGGCATAAATAAATGAAGCTAAGTTTGCCTTTACTGTTTAAGGAACAACTGCAGTCTATGTGTGGCTATCGTGAAGCTTTAAAACATCAGACGGCTGCTATGAGGATTGTGCTGACAGGTCAGCTCTCCCGGTTTCTGCTGTTTGGTTTTTCATTCGATGCACTAAGAATATCTCGCGGGGCACACATGCACAGGTAACAGCGTTACAAAACCAAACGGGGGCTTACGAGTCGTTTAATGTGGGGCAACGAGGCATTATAGTTACATGGCCTGTGTGAGGGTACGGCCAGGTGTCATTAGCACGATGAAGGGCCGGGTGGAAAACCTCTGGATGCGTCGGCGGGAGCAGATAGTTATGTCAAAGGGTCGTACTGAATCAGACGAAGAGCGTCTTCGTTGCTCAGCAGTCCCTTGATGAACTCTGCCTCCGTGACTCGATCTGGATGGAGAGGAAAATCACATTTTTGATGGTCTGGACTCGTTAGAAGACCACAACAAAATAATGCCAACCTGTCTGAAGAGTCGGCCATGTTGAATTATTATATCTAATTGTGTACAGTATTGATTTATCTTAACCCCTATTAGCTAAAAGAGATCTGAAATACAACGCCAGCCATGGCTCATTCTTCTGGAAGGGACATAGCAATTAGGTGATAGATAATGTCGGCAGTCACTTGGGGTCAATCTGTTTATCTGGGCTGCATTTCCCTCTAAAATCAATGCAGGGAATTAGGGACACCCTCCATGACTGACTTTCACTCAGGAATATTTTTGTCATAAGTTGGAGAAAACATCGGCACGACCTCCGATAATAAGCACAAACTAACCTAAAGACACATCCAAAACATACATGCCTTGATTTAAGAGCTTTTAGAACCACTTTATCAGTCAGAAGAACCTTTTACTTCCTAAGAACGTTACACAGTTTTAAGGGTGTTTTTGTAATTAATTACTTTTTCTTTAATAATTTAGATCTTTGTGCTGTGTATGTGACTTTCATCCCAGCTTTAGCTGTGGGAAGGATGGCCTCATATCTGAATATTTTGGTATCCAAAGGAGTTCATGATGGACTTTAAGGTCCTGATGCTGCGGAAACAGCCCAGATCATCGTCCTTCCCCCGCCGTGCTGACGGCTGCTGTGAGTTTTGTTCTTTTTGGAGAAAAATAGCTTTTCTCCGGCAGCCCAAACAAACCAGCCAGCCAGTCTTTTTCAAATCGCCCTCCCGTGACCTTTAACCTTTAAAATGCTAAGTGAGGCCTTTAGAGTCTGAGATCAGCTTTCACAAATAGCATTTTTTCAACTAATAAATGCCATTGAATTTGAATAAAGTGAGCCAGAGGAGGGAATTGTGGAAACCGTGTAGGGCAGCGTGTCTCGATGACCAAAAACAGGCGCTAATAAACTCTGCTAATCAAGTATCAAGCATTCGGTTAGCAGCAGCTGGCTGTTCGTTAGCCTCTTAATTCCTATAAAAGAGGAAGGCCGGCCTTTCTCAGAGCAGCAAAGAAAATGTAATATACTGGAGAATGATGCGGATTGTTATGCAAAGTGTTCTGTGTGCTCATTATCTGTACCCACCGTTGTCGGCCTTCTCAAACACGTTCCAGAGTTTCTCTACCCTCTTCTCGGGTGTGTTTTCATCGTCGGGCAGATCCTCCACTTCGTCTGGGGGAATCAGCTTGAAAATTGACTGTTGGAACCAAAACGAAAGAGAAAATGCAAAGACAAGTTTACTTCAGTCATTTTGTAATTACCGGTCACTTTTCACAGATGACTCTGTTATAAAGGCTGAATTAAACGTCACTACTTTGGTTGTAAACCATTCTCTCATCAATGTGTGTGGTAGTGGAACCATTGTTCTCTTCGTTTCGTTTTAGGAGTTGTCACTTCTGATCGTTGGCCCTTTGATTAAAATAAGCAACATGTTGTTAAAGTAACCTGGATTAACCCGACAGCTCTTTGTTCTGTGATTAGATGAACTCTAATCTTTTAGATTTAGGTTGCTATAAATACACCTATCAGCCAGCTGATTTCGAAAGCACTGACCAGAGAAGTAACACTGATCTCCTTGTTACAGTTCAGTCCAGTTCAGTTCGTGGATGTTGCTTAGACCCTAACCCTTTCACCAGTGGCGAGAGCGCAAATCCCAGCTGTTTTAACCTTTTCCTCCGCGTTGGAGCAGCTGTGCACGGATTCAAAAGCGAAAGGATTTAAGGCCTTCAGACCTTTGGAAAAGTAATAAAGCGTTTAGGTTTTTTCTTGAAAAGCACGTTTCTTTGTATCAAAACTTGAAGTTTTCTGGTACTTTTTAATTGAAAACAAAAGATCAAATTAATGTTTTATTCTCTAGCAAATTTCTAATGAACTTAAAGCCAGCAGCAATACAACTTTTTATACAAGAAAACACCCGCGGGAGCCATTTAAGGAAACCCACGAGTCCCTTTAGACCCCAGCAGCATCTTCAGAGGGCTTGAGAAGCGATTCATAGATCATAGAAATCCATGAGAGAGGAGAATAATCCATGACATCATCATGTGGTGATTCAGACGTCTGATTAATCAAGCCTGAACTTCCGGGTGATTCTGACCTTTTGAGCTTTTGTTGCATCACAAATTCCTCACAGACATTTAGTTACTCTGAAAGCCTCTCTGCCCCCCCACCAAGGCTTTTCCTGGTCTGAAACGCCTAAAATCACTCTGCTCTGATCTGGTGTTTTGACTGTAAAAGTAAAAATGGTGTCACATTTATTTTTATGTCAAAGTGTTTCAACAGAATTAGAGCATTAAACTCCTGCTGGATCTGTTTATAAATGCATTAATAATCATATTTTGCTAGAAGTCTGCACTGTGTCCATCCTGTCCTCACTCAAAAGTCAGCGCCGACTCAATCAAACTTTAATCCCCCGTTTAAAAATAGCTGACTTCACAAAAGATAATGCATCTGCCTTTCATTCTGAAACAATCCAAGACAGAGCTGAGATTACACATGGAAAAACAGAGTGTTGGCAACACTCAGATTTTTGTTGTACTGTATTGGAGTCCTGGCCACATGTGCCTTTTCAGTAATCCCAAAAGGTTTTTAACACAGCTTTCTGCAGAGGTCATTACCCAAAATCACTTTCTTTCTGAATTATGGTCATCCACCCATAGTTTTTTTTTTTTTCCTGAGTAGACACAAGGTGCTTAACATAATCCCAAACTACTCTACCCACTGTTTTTACTGTTTTTAGCTACACTTTTGATCCGAGGTCATACTTATTATCCCTGTTGTCTGTTGTAGATGGTTTGGAAGGCCGTATAATGGCATCAGCATCCTTGGCTAAATCATAACTATGTGTGGCAAGTGTGGCAGTAGGTGAGCTAGGAGGTAAAAATAATTAAAAAACTTAAATCTTTTCCAAGATGGCATACAATCTGCATGCCATTAATAGATAACAATTCAACACTTTCTTAGAAATTCATACAATTGGTTATTCGTGTCCATGCACACAGATTAGCTAGACTTCTTTAGCATGTTTGCACGGAAAATGCGCTAATGTGGTGCTGACTCAGCACCAACTTAATTCTTCCACTTAATTTCCTTTCGTTATCAGAGATGAGTGTTATGTGCTTTAGTCGTCAATGGCTGTCATTTTTTGTCACTTCAAAATAGCTGAAAAAGTCAAGAGTCTTATTTCAAATTTGGCTCTATGCAGATGATCCAGTGCTTTATAATTCCATTTGCCATTCACATCTCTAATATCTTACCAAAAGGTCTCCAAAACCAACATACTTAACCATTTGTGAGGCTGTAGCTCAGGAGAAGCAAACTGTTGATCAGAAAGTCGGCGGTTCGACTCTGTGTTTCCCCTGGCCACTTGTTGAAGAGTCCTTGGGCAAGACACTGAACCCCACATTGCCCACCATTGTATCCACCGGTATGTGAGTGAATGGGTGAATTTTATGTAGTGGGAAACCACTTTGGGTGGTCAGTGAGACCAGAAAAGCTCTACAGAAGTACAGCCCTCTTACCATTTACCCTCATTCATGCATTGCCCAAACTCTGAGGCGAAGGACCATCGCTGTTCGCCGCCCTCTGAAACTCACCGCACAGATTTCGGTGACCTCTGCTTTGGTGATGTAGCCGTTCTTGTCCACGTCGAACAGCGAGAAGGCCCACTCCAGCTTCTTGGTGGTCCTCCCTGTGGACGTCATGTGGAGGGCAATGATGTACTCCTTGAAGTCCAGCGTGCCGTCCTCGTTTGTGTCGAAGGAGCGGAAGACGTGCTGGGCGTAGGTGTTGGCGTCGCAATCCGGGAAGAACTTGCTGTAGATGTTCTGAAACTCCTCCCTTGTGATGCGGCCCGACGGGCACTGCTTCTTGAAGTTTTCGTACCAGTGGTATATCTCAGTCTCGGAAAACTTGGTGATGAGTTTCAGGTCCTCGAGGATCTCCTTGGACACGGCGCCGCTTTTGCTGTTTCCCATGGCTGAAGGCTGTTAAAGAACTATTCAGGAGTCGAACCCTCAACTTCAGAAAGGCGGTAAGTGGAGTAACAGCCCTGCAAGGTTCCTGCTGATCCGGGTCCGGGCCTGTGATTCTTCCCCTGGGACACAAACACTATGAAAGGAGCAGAAGCCACTTGGTAAGCTCATTAAGCAAATCAAACCTTGAGTAAAACCAAGCAGAGGTGTCGGGGAAGTACTTTTTTATTTTGGGGTAAAGCTGCGCGTCACAGTTTTGGCACCTCTCTACACGTTGGCTATTTTTGAGTCAAGCGGCATTGTGTTTGGAGCATGATATGGAGGACTTAAGAAGGTTCATCTGAGCTGTGGTTGGAGAGGGATAATCTCATTTTATACGCAGCTGCAGCCCACTAACACTGCTTAAGTAGGACAATCTACCATCATTATTTTATAAGAGAATACCTGAAATAAAATTTAAAAAAAAATTAATCACAATAAAACTAAATTTAAGACTTCCGCTGCTTTTTAAAGTATTAAAACACTTGAAACAATGTAAAAACAAGAAAAGGGCATTAGGTAATGAATTAAATTCATTTTTAGATATAAATCAATCTGTATACAAAACGCTGAATGACAGCTAATTTGATCTCTGGGGACTCTTTAGGCAATCCAGTCCACTTTAATGATTGTCTGACATAAGGATGCTGACTGAAGACCACAGCTTTAATAGAGAAATCATTTTGAGGGGGTTACCATGCAGATTTGTTTTATGTCTGTTGCAGAGCTGATATGCCATGTTGTGTGTGCTCATCTGTTGGTTCTAGTTAAGAGCCTCGCTGCAGCATTTTGGACAAAAGTGCTTAAAGCCTCAAGCTTTTGCACAGCTGGTAAGCAAGTGCATCAGCAGAGGCTCTAAACAACAGAAAAGGTGACATTTAACTGCAAATAAAACTGAGAAAACTTCAGGTCTAAACACATATTCCCCAGTGTTGTCACTCTCCAAAACGATAAAGTTAAAAACAGTTATCATGGCCAAAGCAAAAAGAAGCTCAAAACACCACTGAAAAGATTTATGGGTTGAAACCAAAATACATTTTTAATTACCTGTTTAATGTATAAAGTTAAGATCAAATGAATGGGCTAATAACTGACAACCATCTCCCACTGACTGCATGATTCTCCTCCAAATATCCTTTCTGGCTACTTTATATATTTCTGCTTCTTTTGCTGTTCGGTGGCATTTCGGATTGTCTGACAGTACTTTTTACCATCATGGACAGAAATGTCTGACAATTTGTCATAATTTGCAGCTTTTTCCTGGATTTCGCTGTCGTTCTTGGTCGTCAGTTGCTGTAACTACACGTCATTTTTTGACATTTCATCTTTGATTATTCCCCCAAAACATTGCAAATACCGTTATTTCTTCATTGCAGATAAACATGCGTTGATTTCACCCAGCACCTCTTCAACACTCCGGCTGTTTGTGAGGCATCTGGGGCTTGATAGAAACAACCCATTTTGGGTTTGTGATTTTAAGCAATAAGCAGCTCAAACCATCAATACTACAGATGGGCTTTCCTGTCTGAATGGTCTACAAATCTCCACACGGGAAAAAATATGTTACAGGTTGTTTTTTGTTGTTTTTTTGCCTGGATAGGAAAGAATAAGAAAGAACATTTGTATCTCTCCTTCTGAAACTAAACTAAAAGTTTGCATTTGTATCAATATTGAATGTCATTTGTGAATATTTCTGCAAAGGCAAACTACTTTGATTCAAGTTTAAAGTTTTGGAGCAGTGTTCGACTGCCAAGCAGAGAGCAGCAGCTGTGTGGGTCCTACCTGAGCGGTCAGCAGAGGAGTCGAGGGCAGACAGCAGCGCTCCGTCTGTGGGCAGCAGAGGAAATCTGCCTCCCCTGCAGGAGTTCCAGTAATTCAATTAAAGCGAATCCCCAGAGGCGGGGCCACAGCAGCCGCCCCGTGAAGCCCTCTGAGCCGCTGCCTCCCCGGTTTTATGCAAATGAGTCGCACATGTTAATCTGACAGTGCACAAAGTGGTTTGTTTTGCTTTCCAGCTTCCATCTGACGGGAGATTTGACTCAGTTTTCAAGGCTTTGACAGAAACGAACAGGAGGAGGGGTTTAAAAAAGGAAACCCCCTAGCATTAATCATGTAAATGTAAAGTGTAATTTAATGAAACTTCTACACAAAGTAACCTTTACAGCCACTATTATCCATTGGGTCCATTCATAGATACACGGTTGAGTACCTAAAAAAAAAAAAAGGAAAAATAACCAATTCTGCTTCATGTTGATGAAAGAGATCATACTGGACTTTTTTTTTTGCTGTACAACAAGAATCACTTCACACATCAGGATCATCCATGGTGGAAATAATTGTTTATTTTTTGCTTCAGTTTTAAAGTATGATAGCTGTATAATTGACTTGTTGCACCTTCCAACAGAGGAGAGTGGCTCTACTGGCCTCAGCGTGAGATTCAGGGGAGTTTTAACACCAGACACTTTCCAGTAACATAAATCCCCATAAATGAGGCCACGTCTCTCTGAGGAGGTGCAAAGCCTGTTAGACACAGCTGTCAAACAGTGATGAAGCATTTTTTATACTTTTGAGTCAAACCTTTAGCATCCCAAACAAAACCAAACCAGCCTGTAAACTGTCTGCTTGCACCAGACGATGGACGGAGCCGCTTTTGTTTTTCTCTTAAAGCAGAAGGCTTAAGCCCTGCTTGAGAATGGCTGATCTCTCTTGTGTAGTAAACACGCCGGTTTAAGTCCTTCGATGCCGCGCCGAGGCCTGACCTCACGCTGCCTCCCTCCTGGCATCATTTACCTCGGCTTCACAGGTGATTTGGATTTTCCCGTCTGACAGCAGAGGCCTCTTGAGCCCAGTCTGGCTGGGGAACCAGAGCTGGGGCCACCTTTTGACCCCCATAGTCCTGAATGAACCCGGTCCAGATCGGCAGAGCTAATCTGAAAACATTATTTCTGGAAAGCAACAAGATGGAAATTTTTTAATCTAAGATTATTTCCATTCCCTCAAGTTTGAATCAAAACAAGCAAATAAACCATACATTTTTTCCTTAAGATTTAATTCCCCCTTTTTGTCCTTTATGTGTTCTCAATGTGACTGATGGAGTTAAACCCAGAATAAACTGGAGCAAGAGGCCAAAATAGTCCAAAAATGGGTTCAGATCGTTTAAAGGTCCAAACAAAGTGTGGAATATCCTTAGAGGAAAAACTTTACAGCAGATCAAACACCTCTCCATGTTCAGTTCTACTGATAATTAGGTTTTTAATTACTCTTCCTATTGAGACAAGGCTGTTTGGCAAAGGCCAACCAGTAAAAGAAGCACATGTGACACTTGACTCTGCTTAATGTTAATTTTCCTCTGCTTAAACTGAATTTTGGCCAAAGGAGGCTCGTGAAGTCCAGAGACTCCCTGCTTATCTTGAACCTCCTCACCATCTCTCCACTTTTAAAAGAAGGAGATTCTCTTCTGCTGTCAAACAAAAAAAGAGAAACAATTAATTGGATTAGTGGTTTTAGCTCCTTGGCCCTTTGGACAGCTCTTTCTTTTTCGCAGTCAACAAACTTACCTTTAACCTGTAACCGGGTTTGGACTGAGACAGAAGGGAATCCTCTGACCGGGGGGCCATGGATTAAAGCGGAGGAAGACGGGGGAGAGACGCTGTGAGGGTGGAAGGAGGATCGGGCAGCTTTGCCAACAAACAGAGAGTCATGGAACAGTAGGGCTTATGTGTTCTCTCGAAGCCCTTTGGCCTGAAATTAGGGAATCTATTTAGAGAAAAAGCTTCAATCCTAAATCAGCCAGGGGATAAGACAGAAGAAAAATAAGAGGGGATTCCTGGTCCAGCTTGCTTGGGATACTCTGAGCCCCGCCAACTAAAGGTCAGCAAGCACAAACAAGTCCAGTCCCTGAAGGTTTATTGGGGCTTTTTCAGTGTGAGGTGAGAGGTGAATCAGATTAGGACGTTTCCGTCCTGGCTGCAGATCTGGTCTACCTTTTCCTTTCCTCTCCTCTTTTTTTAGATGTTGAAGATGCCGCAGGCTAAAAACGAGCACAAACATTTTTTTTTGTACTTTCTGGAGGTTGTTTCATTGGCTTCCTATTCTGTGGATGAAGCTTTTGCCCATCTAAACCTCCAAGAAACTCATCATTTACACCTCTATGAGGAGATCATGATGTTGTCATTGTATATTGTACATTGTTCTCTAAAATGTACTGGATTGCTTTTCTCCTGTATCCTGTAATTCTGCTAAATGCCTTTTTACCTAAAATGGACACAAAAAAACATTTAAAACAAAAACTTACCACTCCGAATTAAGAGAATTTCTCTCGGATGTGAAGATGCGTTCAGTTCATGTTGGTGTAATACCCACTTTTCACCACTAGAGGTCTATATGAATCTTAACACGTTTCCAGCTGGAAGCTCGTGATTTTATACCAACAAATTGGGAATAAGAAATAGTGAAAGCCCAAATAAAAACTGAAGTTGTGCCTTTAACAAGTGATCATTTACTCCTCCCGTGACAGAAACATGGCGTCTCTTCTCTGAACTGTGTTAAACAGACTACAGATAGATTTCTGTATTGCTGCTCTGCTCTAAAATTCATTAAAAACACACTCATTTTTTTCCAAATATTCACAATAAAGTAGGCTCTCCTCATTCAGCAGGAAGCCTTATTGGTTTGACCCTGCTGGGTTTTCTATGTGGAGTTTGCATCCCCCTGCTGGAAAAAGCTGGAGGAGTTTATCCAAAAAGAGGAGATTAAACCAAGAGATGATAAAAGTAAGAAACCTGAAATAAACTACTTTTGATTTAATTATTTCTCATACATAGAAAAAAATGTATCCAAACACTCTTAAAATAAGAAGATTTATATCAGGGATTTCAGCTTTTATCTCATCTCCTCTAAATGATAAATTACTGAGATTTTAGCTTGTTTGTAGAATGATCTGTTACTCAGATCGTTTTCATTTTTATTTTTAAGGATAGTTTTAATCGAGTTTTGGAAACATGTTTCTGAAAACATTTTGCCATCTGGTTTATCTCAAATTATTATTTTTTTGCCTCTGTTTATGTATTAATGTTATCCTTAACGTGCTGAAATTTTGGCTCTTTTCTTGAGAGTTAGACATAAAATGTGTTTATCTAATTCTCAATAAATCAAACCAGATAATCTTTTATCAAACTTGGAACAAATGTTTTAAATAATTGTAATAACAGCAAACAAATCTCTGATTAATTCAAAAGTTGTTTAATTGAAATAAAAAATTGACCACTGCTGCACTGAACTCAGTCAAACACTATGAAAAAAAATACTGACAGTAAATAAGCCTTTAGCGTCTGGACCGGACCAAATCTGCCCATGGGAATCTGAAATGCGTCCCTGTGCTGGGGCGCCTCAGTGGTGGCTGCTGTACGAGCGGATCTTCCGGCTCAGGTTGCGGGCGAGTCGGTCCACGGCGCTGCTGATGTGTCCGAGCTCCTTCCTGGACGACAGGCCGTCGATGTTCCCGCTGTACCACAGCACCCATCCGGCCAGAGACGCCACCATGAACAGGGCTCCTGGAGCCAAAGCATCACATTTTCACATCAGTCCTGTGCACACTACAACCCGTAAAATGTGTATTTGCTACCATTATTCCAGGTTTTAAGGTTATTTTACTGTTTTCTCATGCAGATTTATCTCATGTATGGATAAAATAAAACGTGAAAATGCTTTTGCAGAACTCCTGATTTAGAGTTCTCATACAAGTTTGACACATTTCTCCTGTTTTCTGTGTTTTTTTACCACTGATGATCCAGTTGGTGTGGCTTTCATTTAAAGCATTTCTCATAAAACTATTTCAATAAGGGAGACTGATGAAAAGAAAAAAAAAACACTAATAAAAATGGTTTTGCTTCATCTGTTTCCTTATTTCTGTGAGGATGTGCATACCGGTGTAGACCAGCAGGTCTCCAAAGTCTTGTCCTTTGACCTTCAAAGGGGCAAAGACCCCCACCAGCAGGGCGGTCCCTCCCAGCAGATCCATCAGCACGGCGAAGGCCAGCGCCACTTTACAGTGGGACAGGCCGTCGCACAGGCCCATGCTGCGGCTGGAGGGGAGAAAGAGAGCAGAAACCTTTACAGAGGGAAAGTAGGCCCCCAAAAACAAAGCCACAATCACTCTGAAACTAGTCCTTTTGATCAGAATCTTTAGACAATCAGTCATTAAATAAGAAATTGATTTAAACTAACATTAAACTCATTGATAAAAAAAAACCAAAAGCTCTGTTAACTAACGCTTGTTGGCAAACAACAGACCCCCCCCCCCCAAAAAAAAATCTTTAGGCACAAAATTTACCGTAAGAATCTGTTTTTTAGATCTCCTCTTAGCTCTAATCTGATTTCTTGGAGTCTGAGTTTCGCTTTTTTGGGCTCACAGACTCACACACTTACGCCAATGCAGAAGGTCTTGTTAGCTACTTTTGAAAATACAAATTTATGTTATAAAACAGCCAAAGGTTTAACATGTTAAAGATAAGCTGTTCCTCGCCATAATTCGTGTAATAAGCATTAAGTCATATTACTTCAAAAAAGGCGTGCAAAGGCTTAAAAAGAGTAAGCATTATCAGTTTTATGTTTTTATGTTGGTCTGACCATCAAAATACTGGATATCACCACAAAGCTTTTGGGCTTTATGACTGAGTTACGACTTCGTAACCTAAAAAAGATCTAAGATAGTATTTTACAGTTGAAGCACAGTAATTCATTCTTAATTCGGAAAAAGGTGTGAAACCATAAAGACACTTTTACCTTTAACTTACTGATTATTGATGAGATTTCGGTAACATACAGCTCCAAATAGCGCGTTTATCCGGAGATTGTATCGTGGTTTTCCTTCACTTCCCCCCTTTACCTGCCTCACCTTTCCCACCTGGTCCCGCCTACAATGTGACGCATTTCCGGTGGGGATTTGTTGCGTTCAGGATGTTTAATTTAATTTTCTTTCCTAAATAATAACCCAAAAGTATAAAACTCCTGCATATCCCATGCGTTTCACATTCAACAGACAGAAAGATTGTGGGAATACGAAAAATGTTTATTTGGTTATTGTTCATCCGATACAGAATAAACAATCAATTTGTTCTTACGTTTAATTACAAACATTAAACACATGAAAGCAAACGTTATATACTGCATTCATCTATAGGTAAAATGCATCTCAGTCTATCGCCGAGGTACATTGAACTCAGCATCTTCGTTACTCTAACAATTCTGTGTAAAATACAAAATGAGCCCACTCTTCATGTAATTCTCCCAAATACTCAAAAGTTGTGTTTTTCATTGACATGCACCGCCCAACAGGAGAAAGTTGGAGTCCTAGTGGACGTCTTTTTGGGGAGCGGTCGGCGGCTTTGTGCGCATGCGTGACGCCTACAAACCTGAGCGCGGCACAACACCTGTTGAGGCCACTTATAATCAGGTAATTGCTCGTGTGCTCGCGCGACGGTGCAGCAGCGGGTTTCTGGCTGTATTACAGAAGTATAACGGCGCCCAAAACCAACCGGAGACAAATAATAACAGCTTAGTTCGGACATCTGGTTTATTACCCATCAGTAGCGGTTACCTGCCGGAGTCTGCAGCCATGAATCCACCAGACGGCAGACACGAAACAAACCCTCCAGGTAACAAAAGCTGTCATGACTCATTCACCATGTGGCTGCTGGCTCATTCCGTGCACTATTTCACAGCCCGTTATGGCCCAAAATGTTAATTTTTCCATTGGCAGTCGTTAAGATTGTGTAGAAAAGCTGCCCTGCTGTTAAAACACAGAATTATCGACACGCTTTGAATTCCTCCGTCTTGCCCAGCAGCACATCACCCTCTGTGTGTAATTACTGTTTAACTGTTTATTTTGTGCTTAGCTTCCGTGCATGTGGGTTTTTTTGTGTGAAGCAGAAACTGTGTTTGTCTCTGAGCTGAAACAATAGCAACTCAGGGTGAAAAGTGTTACATATTACAGAGCCGGAAGGGTTAAAGACCAACCTTTAAGAAACACACCAGAGGAGGGGAAGAGAGGAAAAAATGTGGATATTGCAGAGTCACGCTTAGTTTGTTTGCTGATTCTGTAGAATTTTCTTTTGCTCCTGTCAGAGCACTACATGCCCCAATCTTCATCATCCTCAGTGGGAGGAGGAGGAGGTGGAGGAGGAGGTGCAGGGAGTGGCTTGTATTTGGATGCATATGAGGTCTCCTTTCCCCTGGAGGAGAGTATAGAGCGCCCGCCAGTCTATCACATGCACCACGGCCAGCAGATGATGGAAGGTGCGTCCCATGGCGTTTATTATGTATCAGTATCAAGTTCATTTCAATGTCTGACGTTTGATCTTGGTCCTGTAAAAAATGTGCGAATAGATTAGCTTTTCACTTAGTTTTTTCTGCATTTCTTTCTTAAATGAACTTAATAACAGACTGCGTTTCCCTGATTTGAAGGCCCTATGCAGAGGGTTCTGGCTCTGTTTGGAAAATTTGGGATGCTCTCTGAGTTTTCGTCTCCATTTTCTCTCTTCTCTTTCTTTAAATTCTGCAGAGCAAGTGGTGCAGGAGCCTCCTCACTCGCAGTACAGCCCTTTCATCCTGATTTCCAACCTGCGGGCGCACCTGTACGTCTCTCTGGAGAAGAACGCCTGGCTGCAGAAGCGCATCGAGGAGCTGGAGGAGGAGCGAAACTTCCTGCGCTGCCAGCTGGACCGCTTCATCGTCAGCATGAGGAGCCCAGACGGTGAGCAGCAGAGAGGGGCGGGCCGGGGCCGGCTGGAGTGGGACTCACTGAGCCGGCTACTGTTGTTGTGCTCAGTGAATGAGTGGTGTGGAGACGCCCACCGCGGCGTGAAAGTCCAGCCCGCCAGCTCCCCACCTCCGCCCTCCCCCATGACCACCAGGTCTGGGATGACCCTGAAGCGCCTGCAGGGCTCGGGCCCTCGGACCCGCCGGAACATTGCCATCCCAGGTGAGGAGCACACCGACAGCTGTGAATGAACACACCAGAAAGGTTAAGGTTTTCGACCCAACTCCTTCACCGAAGTCAGTTCAAAGATTTCCAGCTCTTTTCTTTTCTTTGTTTTTTTTTTTTGGTTGCCACAGTCAAGCAGGAGTTTCATCTTGAAGAAGACAAATATTACACCGAGGACGAGTACGTGGAGGAAGAAGAGGAGGACGAGGAGGAGGAAGACGAGGACTCGGCAGTGGAAAAGGGCTCCAAGAAGAAGGGCAGAGGGCGATCCAGCGGGGAGCCCAGGATGAAGATGAGGAGAATCTTCAGGATCACACACGGGAGGGAGAGACAAAGAGGTAAGGTCACATGACTGAGAACAAACCAAAGCAGCTGAGGTTTTTCTTTCCCACCTACAGGAATTATCTGTCTGTCAAAAGCCTGATTTAGCTCATTTCTCCCCAACAGAAAGCTTTAAAAACACCTCCCTGAGTCATGGAAACAGCTCAAAAAGATCAATAACAGCATTTTAAAAACTTTTTGAGCTGCCGTTCAATTAATATTAATTTATCATGTTTTAAAACAGTTCTTTGTCGTCAGGGACAAATAATATTGGTAATGAAAGGATCTCCTGAAACACTGAAGTCATTTAAAGCTTCCCTGTGTGTTCTCACCCCCCCAGTTAAGGACCCTGATGGGGTTTTGATCCGATATAAGAAGATCCTGACCACATACCAGCGGGTCAGGAGCATGTCCCGGGCCTTCCAGATCCACGGCGTGGACCGAAACACCATGGCCTCCACCTCCCCCATCGCAGAGCTGCTGCTGGTGGCCCCGGAGAAGGTGAGAGGCTCCAGCTTCCACCAGGGGACTCTTTTAGTTATTAATCCTGAGTCAAAAGATCTGAGACAACCTCCTTCTACAAATTTTTTACCCACTATTTTATTTATTCCGATTTCCACAGAATAAAATTAGACAATTGTCACTTTTCATCACCGTTTCCTCACTATTTTCTAAATTTTCTGCCAGTCGTAGCTTCAAAGAAGCTTTTTAAACTCCCACTGCCTACGAACATCTTTAAGAAACAAGGAAAACACTGAGATCAAGCTGTTCTACATGGTTTTTACATCTTTACTTTTACATTAGAGGCATTAATTCAGTATTTTCTGCCTCTTTTGATTGTGGAATTATCTGAGTATTGTTGCCTTAAGTTAAATAACTCCAAATCCAGCTAATTTATATCTTTTTAAAGCATGAATTGACTGGTTGCTCTCCACAGCAGGATGATAAAAAGAAAAACTGTTAAATCTCATTATTTTACTCTGATTTTCCTTCAGGTGACCGAAGTCGGAGAGTTCGAGGCCTCGAAGGAGAAGCTTCTGGATTACGCCCGGCGGTGTTACAAGACCATGGACGATGAGACGCACACCAAAGTCCAGAGCATGAAGAAGACTCACAAGCTGCTGCCTATCTCCTACAGGTTCAGGAACTGAAGGGGGGGTTAAAGGTCAGACAGGGGAGAGGTTTCCTCTACATGTATGCAGGTTTTTCTGCTACATATTTTCATTTTTGCCTTTGAAAAAGAAGAGAAATAGACTTTTTGTGTTTGTGGTTTGCACAGTCTGAAGCTGCTTCTTCTTTAGAAAGTAAATGAGGTCCCACATTGACATAGTTCTGGGATGTACATTTTCATTTTAAAGAGGCTTGAATTTGAAGTTATCCAAGTTTCATTCCACACTGAAAATGTGTTTGAATGTATAGTTTGTCATTCAGAGCACCAGTTTATTTTTTAATAAGTCTGATATTTAAGTTAAAGTAATCTAATTAATTGAAATTGAAGTATTACTGTTGATATGATTGTGAAGGATGGTGTACTGTGACCCTGAATTACCTTAAAAGTGTTTAAAGTTCTTTGGTTGTGAGTGAGTTGTGATGGAAAAGACAATATGTAAAATACATTTTTGCACCCCAAAAAGCTGCTGTTTGCTTTCCGCTCTACATTTAAAAGATTTTAGTGGGTTCCTGGTTCGATTCCCGGCTGGTTCTGTCTGTTCTGAGAAAATGGCGCTAAAAACAATCACTTTTACACATTTGTGTCTACAAATAATCAACATCAATTAGCTATTTGAACAATCACAACAACACAACATATGGTATTGGAAACTGATGGATTCCAAGTATGTTTGCTCATTATTTAGTTCTTTGCTATGTGATTTAAATGAAAGACAAATGTCCTCAAAATGTTACAATAGGGAAACATTTTCCTGTTAAAGCTGCATTCTAAATAAAAACCTTATATCATTTAGTAATTTGCAGGCTGCAGAGCCCTCTAGTGTCACAAAGTAGTAATGCAGAAATGTGGCCTTCGTGATTATTACTCCCTGTTTTCACCTCTATTAAAGCACTGAAGGAACAGCTTCATTACCATTTAAACCTTAAAGGTTAGAAGCAGTGGTTTGAATAAGTCTCTCTCTCTCTCTTTCTCTCTCTCTCTCTATTTATATATAATTGCTTTGTGTTCATAGGTAAACATCCTTTCACTGAACCTGATTGTTATCGCCGTTTGTCAGGCTAGGGATGTTGGAGAATATTTGATCCTGGTGCATTAGAGCAGATGTGTTTCAGTCTAAATGTTGTAGCACAGCCCACGTGGAGCAGAGTTTGAGTTCCTTCACGGCCGAACTTTCATACATAAAAACGGCTTTTATAGGTAAATATTCTGATCTATTGTCTTTTTGCTCAGTTCTTACAGTCTGTGGCGTATTTTGATGTAAGATCACTGCCGTCATGAATATTAAAGGGCTTGATGGGTAGGTTTATATCAGGCAGACAGGGCTCCTATAGCTTGCATATGTACTGTGAGATAAGCAATTCTAAACACATGTTTCTGTACACTACGTGTTGGTGCAGAGCAGCTTACAGGATGAGCTGCAGCGGCCACACACCAGAGGGGTCAGCACACTGAAACCTTTACAGTCCACTCAATAACTGGCTGTTTTTTATTGATCCAAACAGCTTCCACCAGAGAATAAGTAACAACAATAGAGTGTAAATAGGACACATTTATGAAGGTGGGGCAATTCATGTTCAACTCAGAAAGCTAAATTATTAATATTTTCCTTCATAATCACCAAGTTATGTCTCCATGTTGGATTAATGTGAAAACAAAGGGAGGAAGACGTAAAATCAATCTGGTGATGCAGACAGAGTGTTTCTGGTTCAGAGGTCAAAGCTATATGTGACTGGAAATGGCGTGAGACACATTAATCCTCCATTTTAATGGTCAGATTGAAAAAAAGCTAAAGAAAACAGAGAAATTGTTTAAAAAAAATATGTAGTTGGATTTCTACTTTAGTTCTGAGTTTTATTTCTTAAAGTGTTTTACGTTATTTCTCATTTATTTATTATTTGTCCATTTTAATGCTGCATTTTCCAGATAAATTTGACATTTCAAATAATGTTATAATGACAGTGTTACTTTAAACTGCTCATGTTAATGTGTGATTGCTATCAGATGTCAGAAACATGCATGCATCCATTTGCTATTCCATCTTATTTTAAGTAGGGCCACTACGGGGGCTACCCCTTCTTTGGTCTCGGGCCCCTAGGACAGACTGGAAAATGTACATTCTGGTTTGTAAATCAGTATTCCAGATCTTTGTTGGAAAAATATGGATGCAGTGGGCTCTGGATCAGAGACTAAAATGAGCATCCCAGCTGTTCTCAGCAAACAGTCCATAGGAAAGGTTCTGTGATAGGATATATTCCTACAAGGGTTCTTAGCTAAATTTATTCTAGCTTCTGTGACATTGATGAAACATTGACCATTTTTTGTTTCAGTCTAAAAAAACATTCTGCGGCGTGCATAAAATAGCAAACAAAATAATCTGGGTGTATTAATTTCTTGGTACTTTTACAGTCAAAATATCAAATGTTGTGAGAGGGAACCACACCATTCAAAGGATTTTTGGAATTTCTAAAATATCTGAATTCTAATCAAATTGTTCTCTTACTTTCCGACATTTTCTTTTCTTGTCTGTCAAAACTATGAAAAGAAACATGACCTTCAGGGGATATTTTCCTTACATAAAGAAATAACAAATAAATCGATCAATTAATCGCTTTCAAAAACTGACATTTGATGAACTGCACTTCCCAGAGTACCTCACGGTAATCAGGGTAGGAGTGTACTGGATAGTGTTCTGTTAAAGCACAACTCATATTCACCCTTTGACCTTTTCAAGTGATCCAATCATAGCACGAGTTACGCTGGAAGTAGTAAAACCAGTTCCACGTGATTGACAGAAAATATCAGCCAATGGACGCGCGTCATTTTTAATAGTGGACCAATCACTGGGAAAGTAGGCGGGATTCCTGTCCGACAGGGCATCGGAGGAGGAGGTGTTCCTGGTAGCCATCTTGGATGTGCGGACTGATTGTTTGACGAGAAGAATTGACATTAAAAAAAAGAAAATAAGCTTTTACATTGAATCACTGAAGATTTACGGTCGTGTGGCGACTGAGGACACCAGTGTTAACTCGGAAGTATCCAGGTAAATTAGCTGCTGAGCCAGAAGTGATGAATTTACGTGCCTTTCCCCCCTCTCTCTGTCTCCTCTCCCCTTTCCAAATTGAGTCTCCCACATCAAATAGCGCAGCCGGTGGGAAACTGCTGCTCTCGGCTTTGGCATCAACTTGTGGTCTGAGTTGCTGTTATGAAAATGGGCAAAAAGCGTAACTTTTCCTGCTCAAACGTCCGCCGGAGAACCGAGTTTGCTTGAAAGTGCATCTGCTCTCAGGCTGCTGTTGGCACTGGTGAAACCCGCATTGTTTATAAACATCCCGGGGCAGCGACTGAGCGTCCGTGGATGTGGAAGCAAAACAGGACTTTTTGCCCAGACGTGTCCTTTGAGCAGTGCAGTTTTTTATATTTGCATTTAGATGCTGCCGGAAGCTTAAAAACTCTCGGTCCAAACTCAGCAGGACAGCGTGAACGTGTGCGATCGCGACAAGGGAAACTGTGTCCAGATGTGCACACCTGTTCGGAGAAGTAATGCTATATTCGATGTATTTGGTTCGTCCTTTTTAATCAGCTGTTGTCGCCAAACTACTGCAGCTGTCCCCCAAAATCTTCAGGAACGAACTCGTTGCATATAAAGATTCGGCATTCACTTTACGACACACTGTAGTTAACTTGCACAGCTCAACATGGCAGTGACATTCACATTAACACCAGAGGAGTCAAGTTGATATCTTTACACTCATCTATGCTCGCTCATGAACTAATAGTTCTGTTTTCTAACCTCCATAAACCTGTCTGAATTGGCTCATTTTTACCAGAAGAACTGTGAGACAAAAAGAGCTAAACTGTGGAGAAAAATTTACAGTAATACTGTCAATTATCATCTCAGTTTTTATTAGCCGTTTGTAATCACACTATTTTATTTCTGTGTTACACAGAAATCATAATGACTCAGATTTATAAGAGAGAATGTCTAATTTCATCATTTTTAAAGCTGTTAAGAGAATGTTGAGGATAACTGTGGTGTTTTAGTTCCTCTTAGGAACTAAATGTTTCATAGATCTCCAATTGAAAGCACATGCTAAAGTGTATTCTTTATTTAATGTATATTCTTTTCTTAATTGTGTGATTATAACACAATATTTCCATGTAAAGTGAAATTTGTCCTGCTTGTGTACAGATCTTGTAGGTTTTTAGAGTTATTTCTCTTTCTGCATCCGCGTTTTATGTTAATTAATTAATCAATTAATGATATACGACAAAATGTTGCAGCACGTGATGCAGAACGTGTTTAAAAACACGAGGGAAAGCTTATAAGATATTTGAATCCCTGGCAAAACTCAAATGCATTTTGATAAGCATTACATATAGATTAGGGCTTTGCTGTGGTGCAGGATTACACAAACGTTGGATAAGAGTTCTTCTGTGGAAGTGGAAAAAGATAAAACCTCTTCCAAAAGACATCTGAGCAAACTGCTGAGCTAAAAAACATAAAAGACTCTACAACCAGCTGCCCTAGGTGGGGAAATGGGAGGAATCTTGACACTCCATATGTGAGTCAGCTTTGTCACAAACCCATTATGTGTGAGCTTTTGACATATAAGAGGTTTTTCCCACCTGTGCTCCATTCTTTCCTACAGATTTACTTTATGTGACTTTGTTAAACGTAGTTTGGGTCGTTTGGGGTCAAGAGGATCACCAGGCAGCAATTATTACAGTGGAATTATGACTTAAAATCAGAATGAAGACAGAGTAGGAGGAAGACTGAGAGGAGAGGTGTAAAACTCCATCAGAGCAGCATGTGTCTGTGAGCAACTGCTCTTTGACTTTTAATTAAGACTGGCATCATGGTCCAGAGTCCCTCAGTGGAGTTTGTACTCACACCTGAGTTAAAGTTTTTTTTAGAAATGAGACATCTATTCCTCTACAGCTCATTTCTATCTTTTCTGAGATGCTATTAAAACATATCCCGATCAGAGCTGTATCAGATGATTGTTAATTGTTTGACTTAAGAGAAAATCTTCAGGGGAGCTGTAGGATTTCTTTATAGCTGGTACTAGGCAGACTTTAAATATGGAGTCATAAAAAATAAATTTTCAGTGATTAATGTTTTTAATATGGGGGCTGATTCAAAGTTGGCATAGTCGGCATTCTTCTGTATGCTGGGCATCGAGTCTGTGTAAACATTTAAAAAAAAAAAGCAGCTTGATAATAAGAGATAATAAATCAAACCAGTTATTTTCCTTAGTTTATTTTGGATCTTCCTTTACCATCCCTGTGTGCCGCTTGCAGTCAGCCAAATGCATCCAGCGGGTTAGTTAAAGGTCTGGATGGACACTCTCGGGTCTTTGTTGTGACCGTTTGGCTTGCGTTGTGCTTTGATGCACACCAGCAGCCAGTCTCCCGACGCTGCCTGAGGTGGGCTTTTGGCTCCATGCAGTGTCACCGTTTGGGACGATTTTTGTCCTTTTATAAATAGGCTGATTCAATATAAAGAAAACTTGAAAAGCCCCTCAGACTTACTCATTTAATTAAATGATGCTGAACGACAGCTTTGTATTTCAAATCATGTCACTCCTGCTGGATGCAAGTGAAATAATCCCATTATTGCTTCGCTTTGTTCTTAAAACATGAAGATTTCTGTCCCAAAACTCTTTAAACGAGAACTTCAGAAGTCAAAGACCAAAGTAAAAACACCACGTTGGAAACAAATGGAATATGGATGGTGGTTGTAGTAGTTTGGGCCTCTGCATGAAGGACACACGGGGTCCCATCTTATGTTTCCATTTCTATCAGCTATAAATAGCAATGCTTTCATCTGCTGAAATCACTACAAGGAACTTAAGGGGGGAAATGCACACCCAGGAACTGGGTTTTCATGTATGTTCAGCGCCGTTTCATTCAGGACCAGATAAGTCCTCTATAAGGTGAGGAAAGACCCCAGCCGCTTCGTCTGAGAAGCTAATCAAAGATTAAACCTTGTTTTTTGCAGGTGTTGGAGGTTATTTGGCTTCGGGGTGTTGCCCTGTTTCTTATCTTTGAGTGGTCAGTTGACAGAAAAAGGCTCTCATGAAGAAAGCTGAGCACTGACATGATTAATTGGAGCTCTGTTCATCGTTTTCTGCTGATCGTGGCTTCTTCTGGTGCCTCCTATTCCACGCGTTGGACGAGTCGGTTGAGCCAGTTTGGAGCAGGTTTTCCACTCAGATTACCCGGTTTACAAGCTGAAATTCGATCCTTTGTTTTTTTTGTAGATGTGACAACTCCCTGAATAACATCTGGCGCATAATAAGCCGTAACAGAAAGTAATGAGGTGGCAGTTTAAATGCACGTGAGCTCAGTGGAAAGAGCGTCAAACGTTTACAGGAGCAGACATATTCTTTAGGCCTTTTTTCACATTCAGTGGAGTTGGGATGAGATATTCACAATATTTCTAAGAAAACTGTAATAGATCATGGGAAAAATAGCATTTCATTTGCTTTGAATAACAGAAAGTTATTAAAGTCAATAATGCAGGTATGCGAATAACATGAAACGGTCTCTCTGGACATGTCGCTGTGGCTTTAAAAGGACAAATAGTTTCTAAAGTCTTAATATCTTCCCAAGTATCTGAACAACTAATCCTAACCTGTGTTTTCTTTTCCCGCAGTGAAAGAAGGCATGAAGGCATCATCTTAGTCATCAGTCATGGCCGATAAAAGGAAACTTCAAGGTGAGGCCATGTGTGTGTGTGTGTTTGACCCGGCAGCCCGGTGGGTCAGTTCAGCTAAAATTATTATACTGAAGTATTTCCAGATTATTATATCTCTGAATGAGTCAATTACCAGAGAACGAAAGGATGGTCTGGTGGAACGTTTTGTTTAAAAAAACATCCTAATTGTGTAATTGTGTGGTTTACCCCACCTCTCGCCCATTGACTACTGGGATAGGCTCCAGTCCCCCCTGCGAGCTCATTAGGGAATAAGTGGTTGTGATAATGGATGGATGGATATAATCTGTATTCTGACCAAACTTTTACGTGCAGCAGTCAGCTGTTTTCCATTTACAGAACCGTTGAAAAGTGAAGAAATTCACAATTTTGGACTTATTTGGAAAGAAAAGGCTTAATTCTCAGTAAACAAGGTCTAATATTCCATCTATTACAAAAAGAGAAGGGAAAGAAAAAAAGAAAGTTAGATGGCAAAGGTTCATGTTGATGTTGATTTTGTCATCAAACCACATTCATTTGAGTTATTGTTGTTGTTCTGGTTCGATATCAGAATCTAAGAGACCCGGCTTTGCTCTATTTCGGTGACATTTGTTTCTTCCCAATCTTTCGTTTAAAAGAACAAGAAAGCCGGGCCTGTAAACACAAGTCACATGCACTCACGGTAAACTTGTTTATGAAGTTGTGTAAGCCGTCACCCTGCCAGGTCGAAGGTTTTTTGGCTCCAGAAGAGGTCCTGCCGTTTGACAGCCTTCACCTGCTCTGGCAAAAGGACTCCCTTTCAAAACCAGTGATTCACCATTTAAGCTCCACCATCCTGCACACTTTTATCAGATCTTTGATGCGCTCACAGCTGAATGTGTGCGTTTTAGAGCTGTGTGTGTTTGTGAGTTTAAAAAAAAAAGGTATTGAAGTTATTTTTTGTTTGTTCTCTGTTATCACAGTGTTTGTCAGGGCAACTTTGGGCTCTAACTGTCATTTCTCCTCTTAAAAAACTAAAACCGTGACCCGTGTGACGCAACCAGGACCTTTGTCTGGTCACAGAAAAGCTCAAATCTCCACTCGGTCCCACAGAAATTTCCCTTGAGATTTGATTTTCTTCATCAAATGCACACACACATTTCTCCATGCAAAAAGGCCTACACGAGGAAGAAAGGATCAAGCACCAGCTCCACCCCGACTGTCAAATGATGATGTATTATTACAGAGGATGTAGAGTTTCATCTAAAAATAACACCCTGGCACTTTTAGGCTAGATGTGAACTGGAATTCAGTTCAGCTTGATCTGAAGCAGTCAAATGAAAATGAGCAAAATCCGGAATAATCATCTAAACAACAGAAATCAGATGCTCTGGGGCTCTTGGTCTTTTCCCCTCCGGTCTCTCCTCCCCAAAGCTGGTATTTTCCATCCAGGCTCTTCGTTTTTCTCCCCGCTGGCATCTGGTTTATCTTTAATGCCAAGCATGACTTTTTCATGCCACGCCGGCTTCAGGCCTTGTAATGAATTCAGAGGATTCTCATGCATTCAACGCAGCTCAGAGGTGTCGAGGGTGGTGTGTTTTTTGGTTTATCTGCTGCACATTTGTGTCTTTGTGTGTTAATTATCTGCCGCCCCTGGGTTCTTTAATCACCCCCCCTCTGCACGAGCTCTCTGGTTTGTTCAGTCGGCTCCCATTCATCCTTTTTGTGATTTTCTCCTGCTTTCACTCTCGTTTCTGCGTTCATGTGGTTTCAGGTCTATTAAACCTAAGTTTTTGGTACTTGGTATTTTTTTATTGGGATAATAGTTTTAGTATGACTCGGCTCTGCTGGACCGCAGGGAGGATCCCAGAAACGGTAATATCAAACATTTCCTGTCATTTCAAAATGGCCGTGTTCATCACAAGGCTCACTTTCCAACTCCCTGACCGATCAGAGGCCTGCAGTTTCAGGCTTAAGTCGGCTGACTTTGAAACTCGGCACAGCTGGTGCTAAAAATGTTCCACACTTACAGTTTAGTCCACAGAAATGAGAAAGCCACAGTTCTCCAGACCTGGAATGAAATTAAATTAAAACCATTTTCAACAACAATCAAATTATTCACTTAAAGCTATCAGGGTTTTCTAGGGCGCGGGGGGGGGGGGGGGGGGGGGGGGCGGGGGCTGTGGTCCAAACTGTCATCTCTAGTTTTCCTACAAGCAGCGCTCAACCATTACACAATTGTTTAAAGCAAATTTAAAGCTTCATGATATTAAAATGTCAAACTCTCTGATGGTTATGGTTAGCATCAATGTGCATGCACACACATGCACATATATGTATTCTTTTGTCAAACCAGGGAGATTAAAATATATTTAAATCACTATCGGTGTGGATAAAACTGGGTTCAGGATCATTTATCTGTCTTATTATTGATCAAACAGAGCGTTATTGGTTTTATCCTCTTGTGAATAACAAGTATTCATGTGAGATAAAGAGAAACATCTGCATGTCAACAAAACAGTCTGTGTTGTGAGGATGTGATGGGTCTTTCCCTTAATTCTGACCTCGTATTAAAAAGCTCACCTCCTTCTTTTGATCTGGGCTCTTAGATAGGTTTCGGGTTAGTTTCCACGTTTTTTTAAGCTTTTTTTTCTCCTCCAGGTGAAATAGATCGATGTCTGAAAAAAGTAGCGGAGGGCGTGGAGCAGTTTGAGGACATCTGGCAAAAGGTAAGACGTGGTCAGCTCGTCTTTAGGGCGACAAAAAGACAGAGACCTCTGGTCGAACCGTGAAAAATGGGAGGAAACACGCTCGAATGCACCAAACAAAAGCACCGAAATGTTGCAGTGCTGTGGTGTGACCTAAAGCGTTAAAACTAACCCACCTTTATCGACACATATGCATGTTTCTTGCTGCTTCCTCATATTCTCGCTTCCTTTGGGGGGCAGGAAGCTCAGAGATGTCCATTACATGCAACACACAAGAGGTCAGCATCCATCAGGGACACACAGTCTCTAATCAACCGAACCTGTGTGCTTTTGGACGGTGGATCCTGTGGAAAACGCACAAACTAGAAGCTTCATCCCACTAAAACCAGTCCACCAAATGAAAATGAAACCAGTTTGGCTTCCTAAACGTGAGACAGAACGTTTCAGCCTTCCCCGGTTTTCAGTCATCTTTGTCCTTTAATTTTAGACGGAGACGTTAGAAGTGTTTATCTAATCTTCTTAAAGTACTACCGATCCAGGTCCTTTACTCAATGGAACAAGAAAGTCCTGGGTCTGAAATGCTCTTAGGGAAAAGGTAAAATGGATATTTGAGGTAAATGGAAGCCTCCCCGGGTCATCTCCCTCCTCCAAGCCGGCAGTATTCCCATCTTTCTCCTTTTGCCTCTCCAGCCAGTCACGTCCTTTTCTTATAAGGAGTAAAAGGTGCAGATGCTTGTGTGTGTAAAAAATCGTCAGGAACGTAATCGCTCAAAGTATCGATTCCTGAAAGATGGGCCAAGGCGCCTCGTCGGCCGCGTAGAAACGAGGCCGCCCCGATCCTCTGACCCTCTGCTTTCCTTTCCTTTTCAGCTCCACAACGCAGCCAACGCAAACCAGAAGGAGAAATATGAAGCCGACCTTAAGAAAGAGATCAAAAAGCTCCAGGTAAGAGCTTCCTGTTGGCGGGCTGCACCGGTTCTGGCCGTAAAGCCGACCCGCTTGGAGCTTCCAGCCCGGTCCGAAAGTGTTTTAGCGCCCCTCAGGAAAAAACTGAAGTCCGAACGGAAACGTTTGGAGCTTGTTTTGGACGTTAGCTCACACGGAAGCTCAGAGGGCAAACTGTGAAAACACAAAAAGCTGATAATGGGCAGATTGCTCTCGCTTTTTTCTCTGCTTTTGCTTCAGATGTCCTATTATCCGCACCGCCTCTGTGGCCCACTCCGCTTTGTTTACCACCCACACGTTGTCACCCAAAGCCACAGGATATGCACACAAACAACAATAAAACAACCACACAAAGAGTCGCATTATAAATAAACCAGCGGGGCTTCAGATTCTGACCTCTGATGCATTTTGCTACCATTTTTCCTCTTTGTTTGATATTATTTATTTTAAAAAGCTGTGTGGGAGTCGTCACGTGAGGCCATCCAGCGCAGGAATTGGTTGAAGAATGAGTGATTCAGTCACTTTTTGTCAAAATCAACATAAAGAAATGTATTCAATTTAATATCTTTTTGCATCAGAGCACATTTTTATTTTTTTTCCCCCTTTTCATGGAACAAATCTCATAGTAGAAAAGAAACTTTTGATCAACGCGACTGTATTTTGGTGTAAAAAAAAAACTTTTTGCCCTCATATACACACACTTTTTGCCCTCATATACACACTAAATATTATTTTGCTGCTTCATTGTAGTCGTCACATACACACACATTAAAGGGAAATTCAGCAGAATTACCTCACCTGGTGACAAGCTGGCGGTTTGTGGCCAATCAGCGGCGAGCAGACGAGGCAGAAACTGCAGAGTTGGAGCTGAAGGCTCAGAAAAGGAGATGACAGGGCTGATGGGGTTTTCTGACGCTCACAGGTGGAATTGCACCGCTGGGTGGTGTTGAATGTCAAGACGGGTCTCTGCACGTATTGCTGAGGTCTTCATGTCTCACGCTTCTCTGTATAACGCCCCCCCCTGTTCTTTTTGTTCTTTTCCTTCTTTTTCGGGTCCTTCAGCGTCTTCGAGACCAGATCAAGACGTGGGTGGCATCCAACGAGATCAAAGACAAAAGGCAGCTAGTAGAGAACCGCAAACTCATAGAGACGGTGAGTTGTTCCTGCTGAGGCTGCGACCTCTGACCTGTGAGGGAGAAGAGCCGCTGGGCGGCGCTTCCACCACAGATCAGCAGGAGTCGTCCTCCCATTCATCTGCTCCAATTCCTAACCAAAGTTAGTTGGTGGATTAAACAGGATCCACCCGCCGGTCCAGTCGCTCTGAGCCGGCTCTTTCAATCTTTCCAGAGTTTGTGTTGAAAGACAAATTCCAGATCTTTAAGTAACTGCTTTCTATAGAAGAAGACGCTTTAACGGACTTAAATAACAACATTGATCAGCTGAAAGGCTTTATTGGCTGTAATTCTCCTTTTGTTGTGTTGTTTAAGGCTCAGTTCAGCCAGATATGTCACCTATGCACAGTCTGGGCTCCCTTTTTTACACTGAAAATCATCATAAGGGGTATTCGAGATATAGATTTAGCGCTTAAAATGTATAAATCCAGTAATTTAGAGTTTTTTTCTGATTATATCTACAGATTTATTTGTCTTTTGAACGTTAACTCTGCTTGAAGACGATAACATTTCACATTTTTGTCTGCAGCAAATGGAGCGGTTCAAGATAGTTGAGAGGGAAACCAAGACGAAGGCTTACTCAAAGGAAGGGCTCGGCCTTGCCCAGAAGGTGGACCCGGCGCAAAAAGAGAAGGAGGAGGTGGGGACGTGGCTAACGGTGAGCGTCCCGCTAAAGGACCCAGGCTTTTTGTCCACGTCAGAGAGCAAACTGTCACCATTAGTCATTTCCCATCAGCTGAGGGGTAAGAGGAAGAGCTCTCTCTCCAGGGAGTCTTCACTGAGATCGCTTTGAACAAAACGTGGAACTGAGACTCAAGGGAAGAGGAACCAAAAGAGAAATGAGTGAAGATGAAGTCTTCAAGAGGAACGGGTTGATTTTCCGAAGTGGACTGATGTTTTTCCGAGATGACTAGTCACTTACCGAGTTAGCGGACCGTCAGGAGCAGATTGAGTTTAGTTATTAGGCAGAGATGTGATGCGTTCACTGTTGCTCGGACATCACAGCAAGCCCCGTTCCTATTTAAGGCTTTTCAGACAGTTTGACATGACATTTTATTCACTGCATTATTCAACCTTTTCCTTTTATTTATTTAAGGAAAGAGCAAAAGAGAAAACATGAATGTCCTGAGACCTGATTTTGCTTTGCTGCATTGATTCGTTTTTTCTGCCCGGAGTTGCTCGTCATTGTTTCTGCTCCTAAAAATGTGACCCTGTTCCTCTCCTCTGCCTCCAGAACACGATAGACACGCTGAACATGCAGGTGGACCAGTTCGAGAGCGAAGTGGAGTCCCTGTCGGTCCAGACCAGGAAAAAGAAGGGAGACAAGGAGGTTGGTTTCCACCCACCTCAGATTAATTCATTCTTTATTTATTTCATTCTTCTTCTGTCATTCACACGTCTCCCCCCTCTGCCGGGCCTTGGCACCACAGACCTCACCCCCCTCCTTTTGTCTCCCCCTCCTCTGTGCAAACATCAGATGCCACCCAAACTGTAGACTTCCAGTTAATTCCAGTCTCAAACTAACACTTTGAAACATGCAGAGTTCCTCCCTATTCTCTTTGGGGGCCGTATCCTTCTATGTGAGACTGAGACGAGCCCGTGCTTTAGCTTTAAAGCCCAAAATATAAATAATATACAGTGAAACTGGTTTGAACGTGCTGCATAATGCAGCTGTCATCACACGGGACCGGTGTTCCGCATTTTCTTGCTACAGTCGGATAGCAAAGCGTGTAAAATCAGGCAAAGATGCCTTTACATAAGATAAGTTACATATCGAGCACAACGTTCTTGACAACGGTTTCTTGATTAAACTGATCGCTGGACGCGACACCCAAACGCAGCACGTGCTTCGACCTTTAGAGGTTTACGTCTTCCTCTGATTTAATTGAATCTGAGCCGTCCCCTGTTTGCAGGAACAAAAGCGTCCTGTTTTTAGAAGCCAAGCTTTTGAAAGCTTTGCCTCAGAGCTCCTCTACTGATTTCTAACGGGCCTCATCAGCTAAACGTACCACTGCTTTCCCAGCTGGAGGTGCGTTCAAGTTCCCAACAGGACTCTAAATCCTCTGTTTAGGTTTGTCTTATTTTATCTGCTATCGTCCTCATATAACCCAATAGAAAGTGGGCTGTTTGCTGTTTTCCAACCAACAAATCTGTCTGAACAGTGAACAGGTGGCAGTTTATTTTAAACGCCACCACCTGCACAGGCTGCGAGGCAAAAGCCAGCAAAGTGAAATTAGAATAAAGTTCTCCCACATTTTTGAAAACATAAGGACATTTCTTGCATCACGGACCTGCTGTTTTTTACACGATTCATCTCATTCTGGTTTAATGGGAGCATTCTTCATTTAATTTTCTTCATACTCGTTAAGTTTTTAATTGGTACGACACCTGAGACCGAAGCTGGAAAGACTGCGAGCGCCTTTCCGTCGTTTACACCCCCCGCCGGCCGCAGATGAACTTGCTGAGGTGTGACGCAAGAAGCGGTTACATAAACCTGAAAACAGGGATATGCCATTTGCATTTCTAATTACAAAGGTCCACCGAGCAGAGCGGCAAAGCAGCAGCGCGTCCTGCGTTCAGCCAGGAGGAAAATGGTGTTCCCTCAACTGTCTCAGGGGCTTCTGAACAATCCGCCTTAAAGTCATCTTATTATTCATGTATATTTGAAGACCTATAAACTTTCCCCTCACCTGATTGGTCGCCCTGCTTCCATCAGCCAATCGAGGGCCGTCTTTGTTACTTATCTGCTGAACGTAGCTAATTTTATTTGTGTTATGTTTTGTTTTGTTTTGTTCTGAAAAAGTTTGACCTTTTTTTAGGTTAGAAAATGCTTATTTTACCACTAAAAACATTCAAATAGTTAATCTAAAAAAATACCCCCAAAAAACAAAGAAAATCCATCGTACAAGGCTTCATGCTGTGGATGGATTACAAGTCACTGGCTGGTTTATCTTGAGCCCAATGACATCGTGTGCCCCTGTTGTCCAAAAAGCATTCTCACACTTTCATGCACTTCACTGTTGAGCTCACATGCTTCCGCATCAGGATAAGCGCAACACACGCTGTGGTTGGTTCGCAGTGCTGCCCCAAATACCTACTAGAGCACCTAATGTGTGTTAATCTACATGTGAGAGCAGATCTCACACATGTGGAACTCTGTCAGGAAATAATGCAGCTTTTCCTCATTTAAAGGGACACTTAAGACATTTTGACACATCACATTAGTTTGTTTTTGCTCCTAACTAGTAATCTGTGAAGTTACATAATTCTACAGTCATTCTGGGATATTTCTATGATTTTGTTTTACCAGGTTTAAAGCAGATTTTCTGACCTAAAATCCCGTTTTGACCACAGGGAGAGAAAACAGTTTCCGCTGATATGAATACTTCCTGCTGTAAGTTATTTTTTGTTTGATGATAAAAAAGATTTAAGAGGCCAATCCTCTGCTTGGTTCAGATCAGACGAGGCCTCTTGGACATCATGTCTGTGTCCCGGTGAGGCGTTGATAAGTCCACTTAGTTTCACCAGCGATCAAAGTCGCCGCATGCCCACTCTTTTCCTTTGGCTCTTTGTCCACTCCCAGACACTTCTAACCGCTTTTGGACAGAGAAACATTCAGTTTATGACTTGAAATTAAATATTGAAATGTGGAGCGGCGCTCTGCCAGCGCTAATGGATGCATTAAGATGTAAAGTGCACATATAGCAGTGGCTAACGCTCTCATGGTCTTGTGCCACTCGTAGGAGCCTCGCATCTTTGTGTTTTAAAGTTTAACCGCACTCTTTCCTTAATTTGTTAACATGTTCTCCGTCTCAACGCAGCTTTGTTCCTCATTTCCATGAATAATCAACAGAAGTTTGGCGCTGAGTGCAGATCCATACGTTAGGCCTTAAAGCAAAGTGGGAGCCGAAGCTGCAAACTCCCCTGCCCTCCTTTTTTTTTTTTTTTTTACCCCCCTCTTTTTGCTGCCATGCAGAAGCAGGACCGGATCGAGGAGCTGAAGAAGCACATAGAGAAGCATCGGTACCACATCCGGATGCTGGAGACCATACTCAGGATGCTGGACAACGACTCGGTGCAGGTCGAAGCCATCAGGAAGATCAAGGTCTGCCCGGCCCTTCTGAGGCTGTCCGACCTTTCTAAACCTTTTGACTACCTTTTAACACTCCGACTAACCGGAAGGGTTTGCTTCCTCTTCTTTTAAAAGGATGACGTGGAGTATTATCTAGACTCCTCTCAGGATCCGGATTTCGAGGAGAATGAGTTCTTATACGACGACCTGGACCTGGAGGACATTCGTAAGTGCAGGAGATCCTCCTGTGTCTGTTTGCACTGCAAAATACTGAAAAACAGACAGAAAAGCGTAAAAACAATAAGCCAACTGCTGCAGAAAGACACAAAAAGCCTCAGAATGGCTTTTAATTTGGGTGTTTTCCCAGAAGAAAAAGTCAAGAGAAGCATCCGTTAAAAAAAACAAAACACATTTTATAAAAAAATCTGTCTGTTTTTGTCATTCTGATACGATTTCCAGCAAATAGAGCAGAGACGTTCTGAAATAAATCTGCAAATAGACCCAAAGTTTACAGAGTTTTCTTTTAAATTAATTCCAGGCCATAATTTAAAATGGCTCGAGAACACAGTGATTTAAAGGGCTGCCTCTGACTTAAAGCTGACAGCACCTCCCGTCTCTGCTCCCTCCAGCTCAGTCGCTACTCGCCACCTCCCCGCCGGGACACTCTCACCTGGAGGACGAGATCTTCCAGAACTCCAGCAGCACGCCCACCTCCACCACCTCGTCCTCGCCCATTCCCCCGTCGCCCGCCACTTGCACTACGGTGAGGACCCTTTTGTGTTCCCTTTGTGTTCCCTCTGACGGGTTAAACAGAGACCCAGGTGTGAAAATGCTTATTAACCGGCTGGTCTCTTAATCGCCCTGCAGACCTGCTGCTTTCAGTGCTGTGACAGAGAAAATTAAACCAGTTGTTACGTTGACTTTGAGCTCAGAAAGATCTCCATCTGAAATACAAGCAGAGGATAATTGCCTTTGCAACTACACGGAGTGGCCTGCCATCTGCTCTCATATCTGTGCTCCTGTTCGCCCACGTTCAAAATGTGGCGAGCAGTCATTACAGAAAGTTTCACCATGGCGTGAGAGGACGTGCAAAGTGTAGGGTGTTCAGACAGCCTTTTTGTTTCAGAAACAAAAGGGAAACCCAGTGTTAATGGCTGAGGGGGGCCCGGCCTTTAGGCTATATCAGCAACATGGCCGCCATCTTGAAAGCCGCAATATTTGATCGAGGGCAGGTTTTCATGTAACACATCAACCAAGAGCAGAATTGTCTCAGAAATCCGTTTACACACTCAGATTTGTATTATCTCTTGTGGTTGAGAGGTTATCGTCACAGAAAGCTGGAAACGAGGCCTGTGATGCAGCTTTTAGAGGCGTCACAGAGCTGAACCCCTCAAATAGCTGTGCATCACAGGCAAGGAGATCTTTGTCTCTTTGGTTTTCTAGATAGACTCTAGGATACACTTAGATACTTCTGTCCAACACAATGGAAATAATTAGAACGATACTGAGCTCAATCCAACAGAACGAGAGTAAAAATCCATGAAAAAAGACCAAAGACACAAAGTAAGAAACGTAACAGAAGTATTTGCTACTCTTTTTATCAGAATTTTTTACTTGTTTGTAGTGCCAAACAAAAAACTCTGCTCACTTAAGCCAATGTGACGTTGTCTTTTTCAGGAAAACTCAGAAGACGATAAGAAGAGGGGACGATCGACAGACAGCGAAATCAGCCAGGTTGGTTTGGAGACACTTTGAACTGTCTTTAAAGCCGTATACAGGTAGTTGGAGACAAATGATAGTTGCTTTGTCTGAAAGGAGCATTGATTTAGCAAGAGCTAAAGTGAACGTCTTCTCAGGAAAACCAGTTTCCTTCAAAATAAGAAGCTGAAATGACACAGATTACGATTCTATAACGAAAAAATCCCCAAGATTTTTCAGCTTTGAGTCTTTAAGATGGAAAAAATTCCCTCTTTTTCAGCTTTGATTCAGCTGCCTTTAAACCTTTAGTGATTCTCCAAATTTGGAGCTGTTCACTCTGATCTTTGTTCATGTTTGTGTGTCTCTTCCAGTCTCCTGTGAAGAATGGGAACCCCTCTTCTTCCTTATCCTCCTCTTCGTCCTCCTCCTCCTCCTCCTCCTCTTCCTCCTCGTCTTCTTCCGTCTCGGGGCTGACCTCCTCCTCGCTGGTCTCTATGGCGACCATCGCCGGGGGAGGGAGCGGCGGCGGCTCCGGGGTCAGCGGGCACCTCCTCTCCAACACTCTGACCGGCAGCTACAGCAACGCCACCCAGCAGCCGCCGCTCGGCTCGGCGCCGCAGGCCAAAGGCCCCGCCAGCTCCTCCTCGCTGGCGCCCAGCTCCGGCGCCACCAACAGCCTCAGCGCCTCCTTGGCGTCCTCCCCCCCCAACGTCAGCACGCAGGGGCTCTTCACCTCCAACTCGGCGCCCCAGGCGCCGTCGGGGCCGGCGTCCGCCTCCAACAGCCTGGGCCTCAGCCTGGGGCTGTCGCTGGGCAAAAGCTCCATCTCCTCCAGCCCCATGTCGGGTTGCCTCGGCCTGTCAGGGATGCCGGCGTCCCTGAGCACCATGGCGGGCCTCCTGTCCAGCTCCACGCCAGCGCCCTACGCCCAGGCCGCCGCCTCCGGGACGGCCGTCTCAGGCCTCCCGGGCTCGCTCGGAGGCGTCAGCACCACGGCGACCAACAGCGCGGTGGGCGCCATCGGCAGCGGGAGCATCACGGTCGGCGGGCCGACCTCCTCCACGGGAGGCCTGCTGGGCACGGCGCCGGGGGCGGGCGGCGGCGCCCCGGGGATCCTGGGCTTGGGCTCCGGCCCGTCTGGGTTCCAGGGGTCCTCCCTGCTGTCCCAGGGCCCCGCGGGAGGCCTCGCCCCGGGGAGCGGCGTCGGAGTCATCGGGAGCAACGGGAGCAGCTCTCGATCGGCGGAAAGCGGGCTGGTGGGAGGAAGCTCGCCGCTGTCCGTGCAGCCGCCAGGCCGACAGAAGCAGAACGGCAGCAGCAGTACGTATCGGGCCCAGACAAGCCTCCAAAACGGGCTGAGCTGCTGACACATTCACCATTAGGACGCATTTAAAAATGACCAGAACCAACAGGGCTCCCCACCAAAAACAGCTTCAGACATTCCCTCTGAGCCCCGATGCGTTCCTCAATTATACTTTTTAGAGCGTTTACTTGTTTTCATGGATCTGAGGAGCCAGTGGGGGAAAAAAAACACCCTTTTTGGGCATGAAAAAAACTAAAT